ATGAATGAATGAATGCATGAATGAATGAATGAATGAAGAAATGAAATGAAATGAAATGAAATGAAATGAACGAATGAATGAATGAACGAATGAACGAACGAACGAACGAATGACTGAATGAATGAATGAATGAATAAATGGATCAAAAAATGAATGAATGAATGAATGAACGAACGAACGAACGAATGAACGACTGAACACATGAAACAAATGAATGAATGAATGAATGAATGAATGAATGATTGAATGAACGAACGAACGAACGAATGAATGAATCAATACATGAAAGAAATGAATGAATGCATGAATGAATGAATGAATGAATGAATGAACAAATGAAGCAAAGAATGGATGAATGAACGAACGAACGAATGAATGAATGAATGCATGAATGAATGAATGAATGAATGAAGAAACGAAATGAAATGAAATGAAATGAAAGGAATGAAGGGAATGCAGGGAATGAAGGGAATGAATGATTGAATGGATGGATGAATGAACGAATGAATGAATGAACGATTGAATGAACGAATGATTGATTGATTGAATGAATGAACGAATGAACAAATGAACGAATGAACGAACGAACGAATTAATGAATGAATGAATGAATGACTGAATCAAAGAATGAAGGTCTGAAAGAATGAAAGAAAGAATGAATGAATGCATAAAGCATAGTGAAATCGAGCTCTGGCTTCAATATTGTGCACATTTTGCCCGGCGACCTCGACCACACAACATATTTGAAATCGCGCTTCCGCACAGTCTCGTACACATTTTGCCTTGCGAACTCAACCACACAAATGCTTCGAACGCCTCAGTTTTTTTCCCAAGAGCGTCTGAGCGCAGGGTTCTTCCAATAGTGGGGGTCTGTAAAACATCTTCTCATCTTTACATCTGCTCATCTTCACATCTTCTTATCTTACATCCTCTCATCTTCACATCTTCTTATCTTCACATCTTCACATCTGCTCGTCTTCACATCTTCTCATCCTCACATCTTCTCATCTTCAAATCCTCACATCCTCACATCTTCTCCTCTTGTCCTCTTGCCCTCTCCTTCTTTTCCATTTCTCTCTTGAAGGCGGGGGGCAGGGGCAGTGCCAACGAGACGGCACGAAACGCAACCCTTTCGCACGAAATGAGGTTCGATCGCCAAAAACTGGGGTAAAATTGCGATTCCTCTTGTCCAATCGCAACCCTTTCGAACGAAATGAAGTTCGATCGCCAAGAACTGAAGTAAAATTCCGATTTCCAAGTTGTCCGGCGAAGTGTGTAAAAGCGTCTGTGTGTAAAAGCTTCTTTGTGTAAAAGCGTCTGTGTGTAAAAGCTTCTGTGTGTAAAAGGGTCTGTGTGTAAAAGTGTTTGTGCGTAAAAGTGTTTGTGTGTCAAAGCTTCTGTGTGTAAAAGAGTCTGTGTGTAAAAGTGTTTGTGCGTAAAAGTGTTTGTGTGTAAAAGCTTCTGTGTGTAAAAGGGTCTGTGTGTAAAAGTGTTTGTGCGTAAAAGTGTTTGTGTGTAAAAGCTTCTGTGTGTAAAAGGGTCTGTGTGTAAAAGGGTTTGTGCGTAAAAGTGTTTGTGTGTAAAAGCTTCTGTGTGTAAAAGGGTCTGTGTGTAAAAGTGTTTGTGCGTAAAAGTGTTTGTGTGTAAAAGCTTCTGTGTGTAAAAGGGTCTGTGTGTAAAAGTGTTTGTGCGTAAAAGTGTTTGTGTGTCAAAGCTTCTGTGTGTAAAAGGTCTGTGTGTAAAAGTGTTTGTGCGTAAAAGTGTTTGTGTGTAAAAGCTTCTGTGTGTAAAAGGGTCTGTGTGTAAAAGTGTTTGTGCGTAAAAGTGTTTGTGTGTAAAAGCCTGTGTGTGTAAAAGGGTCTGTGTGTAAAAGTGTTTGTGCATAAAAGTGTTTGTGTGTAAAAGCTTCTGTGTGTAAAAGGGTCTGTGTGTAAAAGTGTTTGTGCGTAAAAGTGTTTGTGTGTAAAAGCTTCTGTGTGTAAAAGGGTCTGTGTGTAAAAGTGTTTGTGCATAAAAGTGTTTGTGTGTAAAAGCTTCTGTGTGTAAAAGGGTCTGTGTGTAAAAGTGTTTGTGCGTAAAAGTGTTTGTGTGTAAAAGCTTCTGTGTGTAAAAGCGCCTGTGTGTAAAAAAAAGTCTCTGTGTGTAAATGTGTTGTGCGTAAAAGTGTTTGTGTGTAAAAGCGTCTGTTTGTAAAAGCGTCTGTGTGTAAAAGCGTCTGTGTGTAAAAGGGTCTGTGTGTAAAAGTGTTTGTGTGTAAAAGTGTTTGTGTGTAAAAGCGTCTGTGTGTAAAAGCGTCGTGTGTAAAGCTTTGTGTGAAAAGCGTCTGGTGTTAAAGCGTTGTGTGTAAAAGCGTACTGCGTGTAAAAGCTTGTGTGTGCAAAAGCGGGGGGTCGGTGTGTAAAAGTCTGTGTGTAAATTTGTTTGTGTGTAAAAGGTTGTGTGTGTTGAAAAGAGCCTGGTGTGTAAAAGCGGTTGTGGTAAAAAGCGTCTGTGTTGGTAAAAGGGTATGTGTGTAAAAGGCTTCTGTGTGTAAAAGCGTCTGTGTGTAAAAGCGTCTGTGTGTAAAAGCGTCTGTGTGTAAAAGTGTCTGTGTGTAAAAGCGTCTGTGTGTCAAAGCGTCTGTGTGTAAAAGCATCTGTGTGTTTTAAAAAACGTCTGTGTGTTGTAAGGGTGGGTGTGTGTGTAAAGCTTCTGTGTGTTAATGTAAAAAGCGCCTGTGTGTAAAGTCTCTGTGTGTAAATGTGTCTGTGCGTAAAAGTGTTTGTGTGTAAAAGCGTCTGTTTGTAAAAGCGTCTGTGTGTAAAAGGGTCTGTGTGTAAAAGTGTTTGTGTGTAAAAGTGTTTGTGTGTAAAAGTGTTTGTGTGTAAAAGTGTTTGTGTGTAAAAGCTTTTGTGTGTAAAAGCTTTTGTGTGTAAAAGCGTCTGTGTGTAAAAGCTTCTGTGTGTAAAAGGGTCTGTGTGTAAAAGCTTCTGTGCGTAAAAACGTCTGTGTGTAAAAGGGTGTGTGTGTGTGTAAAAGCTTCTGTGTGTAAAAGCGCCTGTGTGTAAAAGTCTCTGTGTGTAAATGTGTTTGTGCGTAAAAGTGTTTGTGTGTAAAAGCGTCTGTTTGTAAAAGCGTCTGTGTGTAAAAGGGTCTGTGTGTAAAAGTGTTTGTGTGTAAAAAGTGTTTGTGTGTAAAAGTGTTTGTGTGTAAAAGTGTTTGTGTGTAAAAGCGTCTGTGTGTAAAAGCTTTTGTGTGTAAAAGCGTCTGTGTGTAAAAGCGTCTGTGTGTAAAAGCGTCTGCGTGTAAAAGCTTGTGTGTGCAAAAGCGTCTGTGTGTAAAAGTGTCTGTGTGTAAAAGTGTTTGTGTAAAAGTGTTTGTGTGTAAAATCGCCTGTGTGTAAAAGCGTCTGTGTGTAAAAGCGTCTGTGTGTAAAAGGGTCTGTGTGTAAAAGCTTCTGTGTGTAAAAGCGTCTGTGTGTAAAAGTCTCTGTGTGTAAAAGTGTTTGTGTGTAAAAGTGTTTGTGTGTAAAAGCGTCTGTGTGTAAAAGCGTCTGTGTGTAAAACCGTCTGTGTGTAAAAGCTTCTGTGTGTAAAAGTGTCTGCGTGTAAAAGCTTCTGTGTGTAAAAGCTCCGTAAAAGGGTCTGCGTGTAAAAGTCTCTGTGTGTAAAAGCTTCTGTGTGTAAAAACGTCTGTGTGTAAAAGGGTGTGTGTGTGTAAAAGCTTCTGTGTGTAAAAGCGCCTGTGTGTAAAAGTCTCTGTGTGTAAATGTGTTTGTGCGTAAAAGTGTTTGTGTGTAAAAGCGTCTGTTTGTAAAAGCGTCTGTGTGTAAAAGCGTCTGTGTGTAAAAGCGTCTGTGTGTAAAAGTGTTTGTGTGTAAAAGTGTTTGTGTGTAAAAGTGTCTGTGTGTAAAAGCGTCTGTGTGTAAAAGCTTTTGTGTGTAAAACCGTCTGTGTGTAAAAGCGTCTGTGTGTAAAAGCGTCTGCGTGTAAAAGCTTCTGTGTGCAAAAGCGTTTGTGTGTAAAAGTCTCTGTGTGCAAAAGCGTCTGTCTGTAAAAAGTTCTGTGTGTGAAAAACTTCACGAAAGATACAATGCAAACTGTTGTCTTGTACTTGTAATATATTGTCTTGATACTACCCTTCTCGTCTGCCTATAATGCATCTTTAATATATTGTCTTGTAATATAGTGTCTCCATACTAACAACAGAAGACTCCGCTCCTCTACGCTCTCGGGCCATCCGTCGTCTAATTAAATTACGACTTTTCATGTGAGATCGAGCTCTCACTACAGTCTCGCGCGAAATCCAAAAGTGCTCTCCTGAATTTGTTTTACGCCGGGTTTGATGTGAAATCAAGCTCTGGCTACACTCTTGTGCGCGTTTTGCCGACCTCATCTTCCAGTTCTTTTGAATATTTTCCAGATCGAGGCCCGAAACGGCGAAAACAGAGACTCTACTTCGGCGACCACGGAAGCCACTTTACCCGCAAAAACACAGGGTTTCACACCCGAGTGTCTTTTCAAGCCTGAATTCACGCGTTCCCCCGTTGACATGATGGTGAAAATGCTGACCATGCCAACTGCATCTTCCAACTATGCTCTGGCGCAATGAGTGTTCGCGTTAAATCGAGCTCTCGCGGAAGTCTCGTGCACATTTTGCCGTGCAAACTCGACCACACAAATCCAAAACCGCACTGAATCCCTCAGTTTTTTAGGATTGTTCTTGTGAAATCGTGCTATCGCTACAGTCTCGTGCACATGTTGCCGTGCGAACCCGACCACACAAATCCAAAGGTGCTCCCTGAGTCTTTACAAATTTTTATGTGAAATCGCGCTCTCGCTACAGTCTCGTGCACATTTTGCCCTACGAATTCGACCACAAGCTGCTCCAAATGCCTCATTTTTTCACGATTTTTATGTGAAACCGAGCTCCCCCTACAATATCGTGCGCATTTTGCCGACCTCATCTTCCAAAAGTGCTCCGAGACCCTCAATTTTTTTTTAAACATTTTCAAGTGCAATCGGAGCTCTCGCAACAGTCCTGTGCAGCCCGTGCACGTTTTGTCGAGAACTTTTGCAGATCGAGGCCCGCAACCGCGGAAACAGAGACTCTACTTCGGCGACCACAGAAGCCACTTTACCCGCAAAAACACAGGGTGTCGCGCCAAGGGTTTTCAAGTCTGAATTCACGCGTTCCCGCCCAACTACTTGATGATGATGTGGTTGACATGATTCTGTGGTTGACATGATGGTGAGAATGCTGCCCATGACAATCGTCCGTAACTCGGAAGTTGTCTAGCTAAACTTCCTTTGGCAATTTGATAAACCTCATTTCGGCAGTTGCCATAAGTCTGGACCAAGGCAGATGCACTTGGGGCAAAATCCGTAGGTTTAAGGTTTACATTCTTGTATGGTGAAATCGGGGACGGAATGTTGCATCTTGCAAAAAACCGCCCCAAATCTTGAATGGCTAGAAAAGTTGGAAAGCGCGAAATGGAGGAAACATCATCTACAATGTACACCATCCTGGAACCATGTTGATATCTTTATTGGGACCTTCATGGACCCCCGCATGTGTGTGTTTGAAGAACCGAAATGTCGAAATTTCAAATTTTGGACATGTCGGATTTTTTGTTTGCTGCCTGTTTCTAATTCCTGCCGTAGCTCTTCCTTTAATTCTTCGATCTCATCTGGCGGTCGTGGTTTCCCTGGGCCGCCCAGCCGACATGCTGAATTTGCGGCAAACCGGTCACAGTACCAGAGGTCAGCCTCTATGGGTTTGCCTGAAATGGGGAGGGGCATATCATCAGTTTTGAAATTTGAAACCATGACAATGATTAGATCACCATGATCATGTGGGAAAAGATTTGTCGCGGCACATTTGTGATTTGCTTGTGAAAAAACCCATCAGTCTACGTGTCTAAACCTCGTCCTGGTAGGAACGATGGCAGAACAAACATGACCCCAAACAGGATGACCCCCCAAAAAAGTGGTTCTAAAATGGGAAAGCAAGATAATGATAGGACATACATATCATAATAATCGTTTATATGAGAAAAATGTCTTGATGACCATAAATTGGCGTATCCCAATTTAGAGACGAACCCAGCATCACAATCCCACCATGTTCAAAATCCTATACAGTAAATCTGGGCGAATAGTGAAATCCAAGTTTTTATTGTCAAATCCAACCAAGAGATATAGGTTAACATCAAGTCCCAAATCATGGTGACATTTTTTTTCAGCCGGCGACTTTTCCCAGGGAAATAGCCCCGTTTTGGCCATTCATCAAATCATCATGCCAGCTAGGGTGGGAAGAAGGCTGAAGTGCTTACCAGCCTTCTCGGGACATTTTTGTTACACCTCCAAAATCACGGGTTCACATTATTTGAAATACCCCAGGCCCTGGGCTGATCACGTCCAATCCCGTTTTGGTCACACCTGGTTAGATCACCAAAGATGGCTTGAAAGTTGAAATTCCACTTCAGTGAAAACTTGGTCTCAGATTAGTAAATGGATAGCAGGTCCGGTTGTGAATTCCCTGACTGGGTTTATCCATGTTCATGGTGTCAACGCCCGTAAGTGGCCATGCGCGTGTTGACGTTTTTGGGGGGTGGGGGGTCGGGTGGGGTGGGCTAATAACGTTCTCTTGCACTTCAACACGTAAGCCATGCTACGCTGCTGCGCGTTCTCTTGCAAGTCCACGCATGCATCATGCTACGCTGCTGTACGTTCTCTTGCACTTCCACACATACGTCATGCACTTGGGAAGAAAAAAGCCCATTGCTACGTCTTGGACAGGCATTGGACAGGCTTTGGACAGACAATGGGATTGGGTAAAAAATCCAAGTCCAAGGCGGTTGTGCACACACAAAAATTTCAGACAAGACTTTCCAAAACTTTGGCGGTACTTGTAGGCTGCTGTGGGGCGCAAAGCCATCACAGGCAAGGTCCTCAACAAAGTTGGCCGCGGCAACAAAATCCAAACAGTGTGGGGGAGTGGGAATTCAATGCCCCAAAAACAAGCAACAATAGCAACGAGACAAAAATAGATGAGGTTAGGCGGATTCGTAGGTGCAGCAGCAGGAAGTGGTTGCGGCAGAAGAAGCAACTCTATGTGAAACATCTTATTCCAGAAGTCGATGCGAAGACATCAAAGAGGATGGCACAAGATCATCAAAGGAAGGACATGGACAAGACGTCAAAGAGAATGGCTCAAGATCTAGAAAGTCCCAGGAGCACAGAAGAGCTTCCAAACATGCAGCGCGAATGCAGAGCAGCTTCAAAATCTGACAGCAAGGGCCTCTTAGGAAGAACCTTAGACAGTGCAAGATATACGAAGACAAGGCAAGACAGACGAAACACAACTGCCTCGGATGCCTCAAATGCCCCGGATGGTTTTGCCCGGCATCTCGCGCAATCGCGGAGATTCGACACACGGATGCAAGACACAAGACATCTGGATGGAATACACAAGAAATATGGAACACCAGGCAAGACGGAGGAAACAAGACACGACAGAACAGTGATCCCCGCCCTGGATGCATCGAATGCTTCGGAAGTGAAGACTGTCGAAGACAATGCATGAGCTACAGCATCGCAAAGCAGCATGGGTGAGGTGTGCAACAAACAGGAACATGGATCATGACAAGGACATGGGTGGACATGGGAAACAGCAAGTAAGTCAATGGACAAAAACAGGATGCTGACATGTGCTGGACCGCGGGGATCCCACCTCGAATGCATCGAATGCTTCGGAAGTGCTAGTATATGGAAGAGATCCCTGCCTCGGATGCATCGAATGGTTTGGACATGTAAGGCTATGATCGGCAAGACGCAAGACAAGACAAGACACTTTGTTCGATCCTGCGCAGTCGAAACGCACATGGACGTTGCAGAAGAGCCACTTCGTGCGAGGATTTACAGGTAAAATGCCGCAGACCAAAAGCGACACCCACACTTTTTGCGGACCTGCGCAACTGAAATGTACTTGGACATTTCACAAGAGCCATTTTGTACGAAAAATTACAGGTAAACCAGCTAGAGCACCCTGGTCAAGCGCCGGCCTTTACACTTACCCTATAAGAACCTCTCAGTGTGGACACGCTGTTTGGGAAACTTTGCGCTTGAAGAAAAAAGGCAAGAAGTTCCGGGCACGCGAAATAACAGTTTCGTTGTGGTCAAACGCTCAATGTTATGTCATTGGCTGTCATCACCGACACGGACAGATCTTACAGACGTTGATAAACATGATATACCATGATATACCATGTTTATCCCATGTGTTTATCCCATGTCTCACTGGGTGCCAAGTCACTTCCAAGCCGATCACACCTCCTTTTTTCCATCGCTTTGGCTCGTTCCCTCTCCTTCTCGGTATCCGCATGCATCCCCCGCAAAAACGCGTCCTGATCGTGCTTTCGGACTTTGGAACTTTGGACTACCCAAAACGTCAGGAATGCGTATTTCATCGTATTTCCACGAATTATACGAATTTCTAGGCTCTAGAATTTGGCTAACATTGTCATAAGTGTCCAATCTCTGTTGGTTTCACGTCGGAAATCTTAAAAAAACGGCAGCAAGTCCCAGCATCATAGCGCCCTTGGCGGTCTTCTTTATCCCAGAGCAAGTGCTCCTTTGGCACAGAGCATGGTAGATGGAGGACCCAAAAGCCAAAAGTGACATTCTTTGCAACGAAAAACATGGTCTTTACCATATTTACCATGCAAACATGTTAGCTTGAAGAACAAGACGTTGGAGCAATAAAACTGAGTTCAAACATCAGTTTAGACAAAACATGGCTGGCCGGGAAGCTGGCATGATGGGAAAATCATCGAACCAAACAGTTTTTCCACGGAGAGTTGTGGATTGCAGTGTAAGATATCCATCTGAAAACCAATCCAATAGTATGCAACAGTTATCCCACTCATTTCTCTTTACCTGATGATGGCTGAACACGCCCATCTGGGTTGCACGGTATTGTGGGCTTTACCACATGCTGAGATGATTGCAGTTTCTCCCCTAAAATTAATGTCAGGTCTTGCAACAAGAGGACAACTGGAATATGACCTATACGGCCAAACAAGGAATCCTTGCAAGATCGACAAGAAACCAATCAAAGCGTCATAGTGCATGATTTGGTCAAGCATAGCGGTTTTCACCCTTTTCCACTTCAACTTGGTCTAGTTCTTCAGCTATCTCAAGGGGTAACCTGGGGCAACCTGGACTGCCAGGTGGCATCAAGTTTCCACGGGGAGTTCTTCACCTACAACGGTTTGGTTATGTTGAGAACGGTTGTGTTGTTGAGTTTTGATTTCACATATTTCACCCCATACGATGGCGGCATCTGCAAATCTCAGTAATCCTTTTTAAAGCGTGCCTGTCCATTTTGACAGCTTTGTTCTTGGCCTTGCACAGGCGACAATGTGACCTCTGACGTTTGTGTTGACAAATGTCAGTGCCTTCGCGCTCAATGCACGCTGATCTCCTCTTTTTGTGTTGGCAGAAATCCAAGTGATGATAATTATCCAGCACAGTCGGTGTTTGACCCACGGAACGCCAATTGCAGAGCTTTCCAACCTTCTTGGTGCAAACCGCATGACCAAACTGAGGAGCCAAAACATAGGCTGTCTCCTTCTTTGGGTGGAACCAGTACCAACTGCTGTGAAGTCGTTCGCTGCAATGCACGCATTGCAACTCGACCTGATCACCAATGGAAACCGATGGCAAGCTGCGCACCCGTGCGTTGGGCCGGTAGATCCCATCCATTGAACTCGACTTATCTTTGCCCTTCATGTTCTCCCGCCGCGCCCTGGTGCCGGCACCAGGATCACTAGGGCCACTAGGGCGGTCTGACCAGTCATCTGGCGCTTCAACACGAATCAAAGACCGAAGCTGGTGCCATTGTTGCAGCGCTAGCGATGGATTCTTGGGAAGGACCTCAGGGACCTCGCGTTTCTCTTTGCCCAGCAACTCTGCGATGTAGTTCAAAGCTAACTCCACTTTCTGATAGGTATTGAGATCCTCCAGGTCTAAGGAACTAAGCGCCCAAATCAATAATCTTCGCACCCAGTTCTGCAAACCGTTTTCACAATCCTTGACCTCATCATCCTTTATATCCTCTGTATCCTCTGTATCCTCTGTGCACCTGTCCTTCCCTTCGGAGCGTGGCTGCAACCAGGCGGCCAGGCGATACACCCAGCGGATGATGCCATCGCCATCCTCCGCGCTCCGCAGCGCCATCAGCAGCTCCTCAGCTCTCTGCAGCCAGCGACGTCGTTCGGCCTCGGAGGCGTTGTGGAAACGCTGGCGCTGGCGCTGGAGCTGACGCAGCTGACGCAGCTGACGATCCGAAAGGGACACCGGAAGGGACACCGCAGGACTCAGATCTGGATGCTGCTTGGGGTTCCAAAGGTTGGGGTTGCAGGTGCCACTGGATTCAAAAAACTCGGGCTTTGATTGCGATGGTTGAATGGTCGGAATCTTCTCTTCAAATGGCTTCACCACTTGGAGATCGGTTGCTTCATGATGTCCTCCACGTTTGACCCACAAAAAATGCACAGTTTGCCCCACTTGCAGAGGCGTGGCGCTGCTCCAAAACGGGAGCAACGATTCTTCAGCACCACGATTCTTCAGCAAACCACCACCATGGTAGCGAAGCTGGCACACAATGCCAAGGGGCATCAGGCCGTGGAGATTTGGGACTGGATAAGCAATGCCACTGAGAAGTAGTGGAAAATAGTGGAAGATAAGCAGAATTCAATAGAATTCATGAAGGCAACCTTGGGATTTGAAATCGTTCCTCCATTTCATGGTTTGGCTCCAAGTTGCTGTTGAAGTTTTGGAACTGTGTTGAAAGAGATTCTCACCCAGAACTAATGCGAATCCGGACGCTCATTGAAGCTGAACCTTGTTGTGAAATGGCGACTCGCCAGCATGCAAGGTTAGGGCTGGAAAGGCAATCAATGGCAACCTGCTACATTCTAAACACTTTCTCTCAGCAAAAGACACAAAGAAATGACATGAAATGACAAGGTTGGTGGTTGATTGCCTACATGTCAAACATATCCTTGACAGTGGGGTCTCCAAATCACCCCGTGTTTCATAGAACATCGAACATCCGTTTTCTGAACCAGCCTAGGTTCACCATGGTTCACCAAAAGGATCAGCCAAAACAAATGCCATGAGGGTTTATCTGTACGAACGCTGCAATTTTGGTGGGTTTTCTCATGCCATTGTCAGCCACCTATGAACATAAATACATATGAATACGTTTGAGCAAAAAAAGAAACGTTAACAATTACAAAACAAATGTTAAAATGTCCATGGCTAAAACCCAACGTATCCCAACGTGCACATTGCAAACAACATCTCCCTATGGTTCAGGCTTCACTATCCCTTTTTCTAACCTGCGCTTTCACTTGGGAACATGGTCCAATGGGAAATCAGTTCAATTTTTTTTCTTGGAAATTGAATGGCAATTGAGCATTGCTATGGAAAATCACCATGTTTCAAAGGCACATGATCCATTTCTTGGGCATTTCCAGCATCCCACAGCTATGTCAGCGTACTGGAGGGTATGAATTTTGGATTTCATCATCTTTCATCGTTTTTCACATCCAAAATCAGCCCAAGTCTCGTAGAAGTGCCTCTGATCGCGCTCGATATGAGGCAGCTTGGGCACCATGATTTCACCGAGCGGACCTCGCCGCAAGGGATCCCATGTTTCAACCAAAGTCTTGGACACTTTTCAGAAATGCGGGTTTTACCACCGTGAATAATATAGAATATAATATAGTAACCCTTTCTTTCTTATAAGACCTATTGTATATATATATATATATAGCCATATATATATTATTATATTTAAATTTGTATAGAAACCAAGTCTGAACATGTTGTGAGAATTCTCTCCGTAGAACCCAGCACTTCTGCTGAGGTCAACGAGGTTTATTTCGGTCTGTTTTTCTTGGGGGGGCAAATTGCAACTAGGAACGGATAAATATGGCCATTCAGCTTGGGGCCGCCAGAGCATGTACATCATTGTTTTCTGAACTGCGACTTGCCCCTATATATACATATATATATATATGTATACACATTAAAAAATCAATGTAAATATATATATATATATACATATATATATATATACATAGGTAGATAAGATTATAAAAGCCATGTGGAGGGAAAAAAGAAGTCATCCTCCAAGAACCATGATTTTGAGCTGAAATATGTTGAAATCCATCTTGGAAAAAATGTCTTGACTGTAAATCCAAAAATAGAAATAAGATAAATGTGTGGTTGCTGCAACAACTTCACATCGGTAAACATTTTATCGACGACCGCGAAAGGGAAAAGCAAAGCCCAACTCATCAACATTGTGGTCAGCACGATAAACCCGAAAGTGCTCCATACCACTGGTGGAAAGCGTCGCGGAGGGCTCCCATGATATCCCCATGATCCGTTGATTTCTCTCCAAATTGGGGGTTTGGTGGATCCATATGGATGCCCCCGGTCACCATAGGTATCGACAACTGGCTGAGCCCTGCCACGCGTTTTCTGCTTGGGCAGCTCGGTCTCAGGCCTCATATGGTCATCGGCACCCACCTGGCACAAAAGGGTCAAAAGAAGGACATGTACAACTTCTCGGAGTGATAGAATGGAAAATCATGGAAAATCTACAGGACTTGATGGTTTCTACATATTTCTACATTGTCTTTTTGACACATAAATCTTGGAGTGTTGGGAGTTTCCCCCTGAGTTTTGCTTGCTCCAAGTTTGGGAGTCCGAAGTTAGATTTTGAACCAATCAAAATATGTATATTATATTAAATTATATCAAATCATATTATATTATATTAATCTATATTGTATTGTATTGTATTGCATTGCATTGCGTTGCATTGTATTGTATTATTATCATTATTATTATTATTATATATATGTGGTGATTTCACACGCAATCAAGATTTCAAACAACCATCACTAATCTTGGATGCCCTAAAGTTCAGACCTTGAGGTGCTGACATGTACCTGTCCCAAATATTGCTGTGAGCAATCAAACGGTTGCTGGTTTGAAAATCTGAATGATCTGAAATTCAAAAGAAACGACAAAAAAATGAACCATGATCAACCACGATAGATTTTCACATTGGTCCCTTGCAGGGATGGGTCAACACTATTCTTCACATCTCAGGTCTTAGTTTCCAAATGTTTCCAACATGGCCAACACCATGAAACTGCATAAATTTCTCCATGTTATTGGAGAACGAAATATCTGTTGGTGAACTCAAATGGTTGCGTCCCCAACGAATTTTTCCATACCATCCATGCCAGTCGCGAAGACTGGGTAGTTTTGTGACAAAATGCGGGCAAATGCCTCTGCATGGTCTGCATGGTCTGCATGGTGGATCTACGGTATGACGAGCCCATTCTTGTATATTCTTCTGGGTGTCCCAAGCATTAACCTAACATCCCCGTCTTCCACCTTGCAAATGCCATGACCGGGCTTGATCACACCCAGAAAGCCTTTTGGGAACAAATTGAACCAATACCCACACAGAAAACATCACAATTACAGTATCAAAACCACCAAAATCAGCTTGGAACATCTTGGAACCACTGAAAATCATCATGAATCATCTTCCAAATTGATCCAACTCCATGGCACATCCTGAATCGGTCCCATCAGGCACATCCCGTAAGATCTCACAGACAACTTTCTTGATCACAGGAGATCTGAAGAAGCCACAACTTTCCCACTTGTAGGCCAGTTCTGAGCGAAAATGAGGAATGAATGGGTCCATATGGGTCCCACGGGGGAGATTTTGGAGAATTCGCAGATGGGAATGAAACGTGGCTGGGAAACCCAGAGTTTTTACCAATCCAAGCTGCTTGTGGCATCTGGGATTCCGGGATGGAACGCCACAAATCGTCTCTATCGCCATCAAGGTGAGATGTTAAGATTCTTGTGTAGACTTATCAATCTTATCACACCCAAAAAATGGGAGCTGGTTGAATCTACGGATGTAAAAAAAACTGCGTCCAACCTTCATTGTTCACCAGTTTCACCACAGGCACCGTGAACGCTGCCCAGACACCTTTTATGTAGTCTTTGCATTCCATCCAGTTTTTTGTGAAAGTCATTTTGTAGTCCACGTACGCCTTGGATCTGGGTTGAAAAAAGATTCAACTCCAAGGGCGCCGGGGGCTGAACAAATATATGCCTCCACTCTCCACAGTGATATGTGGGAAGGAGGTTTGTAAAAACAAATGTTGGTCATTTTGACGATCAAACCCTCCAATTGCGGGGATGAAGACAGTTTGAATAAAGACGATCCAAAAAGAAAAGCATGTGGATTTGTCCAAAAACGTGATTTGAACCACAAGTTTTAAAGAAAAAACATGGGAAAACCATATATCCGTTTATCCCTTGGTATTTCCGACTTTAGACAAACCCATGAGAGCAATGTCAAAAATATATTGCAAAATCAAACGCGACTATTTTTCGATGGATAAACCGATAAACCATCATTACGCAATTAATACACCAAGGTATTTGGGTATTTGCTCAAGTATCATGCAACTACCATCTGGTTATTTAACAGTTTGCCATGGAAAATCACCATTTATGGGCCATCTATTTCTATGGGCCATGGCTTAACCATGGCTATTTTGACATAACCAGATGGTATCAGTGAACTAAAATCCAAGACTCAAGGAGAATCAATGCCAGAGATCTGCCATTTTCACCAATGCAGCCCTTTGCCACCTACGCCAAGGGACGCCGACAGAGACGGAATGGGAGTTCCATGAGGTCATACCGAGTACCCATGTGACACCATGGCACCCCAAGCCTTTATCTCTATTGTTGGTTATTGGCTTTAGCGATACAGCCCATGATTTTCCATCTATTCTCATGAGTCCGAGTTGAATTCGTTACTGGAGTCAACCCATCTCATGTGGATGTTGCTGGGATGTAATTAAAAACTAGAACCAACGATCACATTCTTGAGACATACCGGTTACACAGCGAGTTGTCATGGGGCCTCAACCGCAATGGAGGGGCTTCGTTGAATTCCAATGAAATTCTATGATATCTATCCTCATGATTATCAATTATTATCATAGATACAATACTCACCATATCTTGTGGTTATTCAATGTTGTTCATACGATATAAACTGATATAACTGATATAACCAATAATCAGAGCCTGTGTTCATATACTGCTGTCGGCCATAATTTTCCCCAACATTTTTTAAAACATAAGTATGTCTGCACATATCCCAGTACTGCAAATCAGGAGAGTAATACTAATATTAAATGCCAAGTCATATTCCAACCCTTGTACTCTTAACCACATCAATATCATATCAATCCAAATATTCACTATATAATAATGATCATATCTATTCATATCTCATCATCTCCGGTCATAACTCCCCATTTCTAGGCCTTTTCCAGCGCAGCATCATCCTTCCCGCTCTTCAGCTTGCGGACGTAGCGCGTCAAGATGAGATCTAGGAGATACATAAACGCCTTCATCTCGTGCGTGCCCTTCCTTGCGGCCACCTGAGCTGAGGAAATCGGCGGGCCTTGTGTCTCGTGGCCTTGGATGGCTGATTTTATGACAAACTAGACGACGGATGGCCCGAGAGCGTAGAGGAGCAGGGTCTTCTCTTGTTAGTATGGAGACACAATTTTACAAACAATATATGAAAGATGTGTTATAGGCAGTCGAGAAGAGGAGTAGCAAGACAAAATAGTGAGAAGTGCAAGACAATAGTTTGCATCGCAAACACTTTTACACACAGAAGCTTTTACACACAGAAGCTTTTACACAGAGACTATTACACATAAAGCTTTTACCCACAGAAGCTTTTACATACAGACGCTTTTACACACAGATGTTTTTACACACAGACGCTTTTACACGGACACTGTTACACACAGACACGTTTACACACAAACACTTTTACACACAGACCTTTTTACACACAGGAGCTGCTTTTACACACAAACGCTTTGACACACAGAAGCTTTTACACATAGACGCTTTTACACACAGGCACTTTTACACACAAACACTTTTACACACAAACACTTTTACACACAGACGCTTTTACACGCAGACGCTTGTACACACAGAAGCTTTTACACACAAACACTTTTACGCAGAAACACTTTTACACACAGACGCTTTTACACAGAGGCCGGCCCATGTAGTCACAGCGAAGTCATCGTTGTCGTGGCGACCTCAGCAATCCGACGGGGTGGTGTGGCGAAGTCCTATTTCCATGTGCCTCGAAGCCAGCATGTATAAACATGTCATGCGGGCTATGTGCTTTGGGGCCCCCCAACCAAGGTGGTTTGCCATCTCCTGAAAAAAAGTATAAACGGGCGGACCTGGCAGGCGGCGACCGTTTCTGGGCTGGGACACGCACAGTATTACAATATGACATAAGTTGGTTCTTTTTGGGTTTAGGGACCTGACTCGTGACTGTGACTGGAATTGAAACTCTTATCTTAACACTCATACATCCATCTCTATATATTAACACTCATACATCCATCTCTATTTCATATTGCTATTCCTATCTCAATATAAAATATATCGATTTGTCTCTTTGTGGTAGCAGCCTGCCTATCCATGTAATCCATCCCATCCCGGGGCCCTGACTCCATGCAAACCTAGCTGCACAGACCAACAACTATATGCGCAAAAGGAATCGGCAGCTTAGCTTTATTCATCTTCGATGGAGTCTCAGCCCGTTCTGCTTGACGCACGCCGATGCACTGTGGTGAGACAGGATGCACTATGGTGAAACTGAATGTCTCAAGCAAAGATGCGTGCATCAGCAAGTCTCAGACAGTTCTGGTTGACTCATGCTGATGCACTTCATTTTCAAATTCAATTGACATCAGTGGCTACCGCGGTTGATCTTTATCTGGGCACCTCCACGGACCTTAGGTAAAATCCAACTACCATGCTATATAATATGAACAGGTACTACCACTGCCTCGATCTGCGAAATTCGTATCCTGTCTCATGAGGGCGGTGTGCTTTGGGGCCCCCCAACCAGGGTGGTTCTGGCAGGCGGCGGACATTGCTGGCCACCTCAGCATTTCGACGGAGGGGTGAAGTTCGTACCATGTATTTGTACTTTGTATTGCTCAGACAGTTCTGGTTGCAATACAAGAATCAAAGTTAAACATCAAATAACTAAGCTGCGCACAAAGGTGTTGAGAAGACAAAGAATCGACCTGGCCCCCCGCCAGGGTGGGGGAACCATCCTATCCCCTCAAAGTCTTGCAGGAGCAGGCCATAATTATATACCTATTATCAAACTCTGAAGCTAAGGCCTAATGCTGTTAATCTAAATATTGTAAAGATCTAAGATGACGACTCGACGATGTGCACCTCATCACAATACGTGACCAAGTGTGTAATGTCATGGCGAGACTAACTAAAACTTTTGTCAGTCCCGATATTGTCCTGCAAAAGCTTGAAGCCATCACTGCTTGCAGCAGCTGAACCAAAGCGTGCACGGCGACAACCTGGTCGTCCATCGTGCACTGGACACTGTTTGTGTGTTGCCGCATTGCATCCAGGATGTCCACTGGTCATCCAAGCGGCACTCCCGTCCTTTGGTGATGTTCCGAGCAAATGAACGGTTCGGTCCTTCACAGAATGCAATGATGTTGTTCCATTCCAGAACCAGCCATCCAATGAACAACGGCTAAGTGCACATACTCAGCCCGCCAGTGGATCTCCTAGTCCAAGGCCCAAAGCTCCTATACTCCTTGCTCACCCTTTTCTTCACACATCTGTGATGACCTTGGTGATCGCCGTGATGTTCTTCTCCAGGAAATAGCTAGTTACTTGCTTCTTCAAAATGACATCGTTAACCATCAATTTGAAGCCACTCGATCAATCCCAAAAAAGTTCACTGGACCATCTCAAAGGGGATCACTTTGAAGAAGCAACAGAAAATATCTTTTGCTTTTCTGTACTTAGAAAAGTCCGTCCGTCCAGAGAGAGGCCTATCTGCCCACAACGTGAAATGAAGCGGAGTGAAGTGATAGTCTGATAGTTTTCCATACAGATAGTCTCTAGAAACAAGCTGAGTCCGCGACAGATGCTCCACAGGTTCAGCCGAGGGCTCGTGCAAGCGAGTGCAGTGATTGGATATTTTGAAGTGTCTTCACAAATGAAAATCTGCGGGTCTTAATCAAAACAAACGTGTGACATGGCATCAGTTGGATCTCTAAAATGTGACTGTGTAGGTCCATGATGGTCACATGCCTGCACGGTGCCCGTCTCTCAGACAGTTCCGGTTGCAACGGGCCGTGGAATCCAGTGAATGTGAAAATACCACTGCAGCTTGCGTTAAAACCATGACAGAACTTGTTATCCAGGACCTTGCGCCGCCATCAAAATGAAATAGTAGTGATGCCGTCAAAAATCGTAGGGAAATGAAGACGAATGAAATGATAGTCTGATAGTTTTCCATACAGATAGTCTCTATGCAGCTGTGAAACAAGCTGAGTCCGCGACAGATGCTCCACAGGTTCAGCCGAGAGCTCGTGCAAGCGAGTGCAGTGATTGGATATTTTGAAGTGTCTTCACAAATGAAAATCTGCGGGCCGCACAGTTCGGTCATTCTGAATGCATTTGCACACACAGCCTTATTTACACAACGATGCCCCTACACACAGACACTTTCACACACAGAGACACTTTTACACACAGACGCTTTTACACACAGACGCTTTTACACACAGACACTTTTACACCGCTTTTGCACAGAGACGCTTTTACACAGAGACGCTTTTACACACAGACACTTTTACACACAGACACTTTTACACCCAGAGACTTTTACACGCAGACACATTTACACAAACACGTTTACACACAAACATTTTTACACACAAACACTTTTACACAGAGACGCTTTTACACACAGAAGCTTTTGCACACAGACGCTATTACACACAGACGCTTTTACACACAGACGCTTTTACACACATCGCAATTTTACTTCAGTTTTTGGCGATCCAACCTCATTTCGTGCTCAAGGGACATGCGACAGGGTTGCGCGGGACAAGTTGAAATCGCAATTTCACCTCAGTTTTTGCCGATCGAACCTCATTTCGTGCGAAAGGGTTGCGCCGGACCACTTGAAATCGCAATTTTACCTCAGTTTTTGACGATCGAACCTCATTTCGTGCGAAAGAGTTGCGCCGGACAAGTTGAAATCGCAATTTTACCTCAGTTTTTGGCGATCGAACCTCATTTCGTGCGAAAGGGTTGCGCCGGATGACTTGAAATCGCAATTTTACCTCAGTTTTTGAGGATCGAACCTCATTTCGTGTGAAAGGGTTGCGCCGGACGACTTGAAATCGCAATTTTACCTCAGTTTTTGGCGATCGAACCTCATTTCGTGCGAAAAGGTTGCGCCGGACGACTTCGAGTTTTTGGCGATATCGCAATTTTACCTCAGTTTTTGGCGATATCGCAATTTTACCTCAGTTTTTGGCGATCGAACCTCATTTCGTGCGAAAGGGTTGCGTTTCGTGCCGTCTCGTTGCCACTGCCCCTGCTCCCGCCTTCAAGAAAGAAATAGAAAAGAGAGGGCAAGAGGGCAAGAGGGCAAGAGGGCAAGAGGAGAAGGTGTGAGATGAGAAGATGTAATGAGATGAGAAGATGTAAAGATGAGAAGATGTGTGAGAAGATGTGAGAAGATGTGAGAAGATGTGAGAAGATGTGAGAAGATGTGAGAAGATGTGAGAAGGTGTGAGAAGGTGTGAGAAGATGTGAAGATGAGAAGATGAGGAGAAGATGGGAGGATGAGAAGATGTGAAGATGAGAAGATGTGAAGATGAGAAGATGTGAAGATGTGAAGATGAGAAGATGTGAAGATGAGAAGATGTGAAGATGAGAAGATGTGAAGATGAGAGGATGTGAAGATGAGAGGATGTGAAGATGAGAAGATGTGAAGATGAGAAGATGTGAAGATGAGAAGATGTTTTACAGGCCCCCACTATTGGAAGAACCCTGCGCTCAGACGCTCTCGGGAAAAATGAAGAACATCTCGGTTGATTTATGTAAAACGTGGCAAATCTCTTGTAAAACAGTTACGGTTTATGGCGTTTACATGCGTTTACGGTTTATGATTGCGCGGTTTTATGTTAAAACCAAGTAGTTGTTGTATGATACGACTTAGTTTTGGCACCACTACTTGAGCAATGTCAACCACCTCTGGGACAATCCCAAGAAAATGATTTGAATTCCCTTGCCTATGACAATTCCCAATGTAGAAAGGGTAGTACAACCCAAGGACTCTCATCAACTCTCAACGGTTTTTGTTTGTGAAACTGCTCACTTGCCCACTTGGATAAAAAGTATGAACAAATAACAGGCAGACCCATAGAAGTAATGTTCTAAACTCATTGGTAATGACTGATATTCAACAAAAATTGCCGTCCAAAAGCAACAGCCCCAGAAGTCTGCCTGGAACCAGAGATTCAGCTCCTCCACCGCGAAATCTTGGCACGCCTCGCAGCTCCCGTCTTCCGATGCAATCGATGACATCAATAGCACGGTAAAACCGTGAAACATCTCGAAACTCATGGAACATGGCTCGAAAACAGTGATGATGTAACCATCATGTAACCTATTCTTACAGCATATCGTATATATATATATAGTATGTATATTGTTGTCAAGAATTATCGCATCTCATCTAACTGTTAACCCAGTGGATCTTTCTACAGGATCGTCATCCCATGACGATGATGCCGGCAGGATTACCCCACCAAAGGGGTCCCAGAAAAGCAACCATATCCAACCAGTATATCAAGCCAATATGTAGCCAATATGTCATGTTTTTATCATTTTTTATCTGCTGTTCTTGAATCATTACCGCATTTTACGCGTTTTATATGGTTTCCTTTAGGTTTCGGGGTAATACCATGGCTTTCCGCCTCCTGTGGGCATGGGGTTGGGGATGGGTGGAGGTGGTTGTTGGGGATGGTTGTTTCTGCAAATTTCAACATATTTTCGGAATGATTTTCCCTCAAAATAATCGGTTCATGGTTTCGGAGCTTTCATGTTTTCTCCTCCACACCCCTTCCACTTCTCGGCTTCACTGCTGGAAATCTCCCTTGGTGCCTCCGAACAAAGCACCGCGGCACATCTTTTCAGCTGCCCATTGATGACTTCACGCGAGATCCTTAAGACGCTGGGACAATCATTTTCTGAGCCGAACTAATTATCTGGTTGGTGGTTTCAACCCCTCTAAAAAAATTAGTCAGTTGGGATTATGATTCCCAATATATGGAAAAATCAAAAAATGTTCCAAACCACCAACCAGTTGTGTATTTTTTTGGGGGTCCCACCCCACGTCACTTCTTTGGGGGTGTCAAGAGGATCAGCGGGATCAATCCACTTATGGTTCCCATTTCCCTGACATTGGTTGAATCATGTTGAATCCCGGTGTTTCACTGGTTAAACCCGTTAAACCCCCAATCTGGGGTCATTTCCCCAGCTGATGATTTCCAAGACTTATCAAGACTTCCAAGGGTCTCTGACGGATGCCTGCATTGCGTGGCATGGCCCAGAAGCTCAGACACCAGATTTCGAAGAGAAGGACGCTGCTTCGACATGGGTTTTGCCGATTTCTTCGACATGGGAGCTGCCGTTATTTGGAGAGATTCCCAGATGGTGCCCTAACAAATTTAAAAAATGCCGTCTGACTTTCAACAGATCGAAGATCAAATGATACACGGATAGTTGGAAACCAAGGGCAAGATCGAACTTTATAGATTGCTACACCCCTACTAGCCCCATAAATCCAATAGAAAAACCAAGAACTGAGGGCTTTAACCTTGAACAATATTAGCAGCACCATGTAGCAATATTGTGTTCAAGCATGTCCAAATCACTAAGACCCGGCTCCGGTTCATGGGGAAATTTGACTTACATGGCTTAAGTATCGTCAATGGTTTGGTTCAACTTTCACCCAAAAGAAAAACCATTCAAAAAACCATCTGGCTCTCAATTTTCAACCGGTTTGAGACAATGATGTTTATCTTGGGCACTGTGAACAAATATAAACATATATCACTTCTGGTTTCCCGGAATGGAAGAACAATTTTCATCCGCATCCAAGTGTTTTTTTTAACTAGGGGGAACCCATGTTTTTCCCATACAAATGAGAGGATATGCCAGGAGATTTTCCGGCTTGACTTGGTGACCTGGATGGTGTCCAGGTCTTCAAGTTACGTTGCGTTTTTTTTTGAACATGAATAAACCATAATAAAGCCCATCCGGCCATGACACCTGCGATGCTTCAATTTTTCCCCCATGAATTGAAGCTGGGCGCATCAGCCGCATTCACCCATCATTGGGTCATTTGAATCATTGGAAAGTAAATCGAGCCCTGCCAGCTGATCTCCGACTCGAGCTTTTCGCTTTGGCCTTCGCCTTGGCCTTGGCCTTCGGCTTGGCTTTGGCCTTGGCCTTAGCCTTGGCCTTGGCCTTCACCTTGCTTTTGGCATCTGGTTTTGGATTGTCCTTCTCAGCCTCTTCCCTTGGAATTGCCCGATGTGGGACCAATAAAAAATCTTCAAAAATCCATGGAGTATCTCAAGAAACCATAGATGAACTGGGGAAATCAACCCAATGAAACATAACTGGGTTGGTGGTTTCACCCCGCCTAAAAAAATACTACTCACTGTGTCATTGGGGATGATATTCCCAACTTATTACAAGGGTTTGAAACCACCAATTAGGGTAAATAGATGTAAATCATCTAAGATCATCTGAAGTCACTTTCTTCGAGTGATCCCCAACCTGAAACACTAGTCTGGCAGAGTTTCTGACATACTATCTGAAAGCTAATATTATGGCATATTTATTCTTGCATTCTGTCTGACATTCTTTCTGGCATAAGCTTTGGCTTTCTATCTGGCATTCTATCTTTGTATCTATTCTGACAAGCTTTCTGGCACTCTCTCTGACATGGGCACTGCCGGATCTCAACCATAACCTTGCGGTTGAGGTGGGGCAGTGCCCGCTCAGATCTAAAGACCCTCACCTGGTGGGAAAGAAACGACTAAATCAGCTAAAGATCATCTAAAAGCATCCGAAAGCAGCTAAAATCAGCTCATGAACAATAGCCAAAATCATTTGAAACTATTTGAAATATATCATTATTATATAAATAAACAGGTTGTAAGTAGCAACTCCCAAGTGTCTGGCTGTCTTCACCTGGCGACGCCGGGCTTTTCCTTGGGGTGACGGCCATGGTTTGTGATCCAAGGGTGTTCATTGGGGACATAAGTGGGATATACCATGGGGAAATATATGACATATGGGGAAATAATGAACATTTATAAACATCCCACGTTTAATTATTGGATAATTTAGATACCAGGTTGAAAATAGCAATCTCAATGGTTGGAAAATAATGCAGAACTAGGTTGAGAATTTTGATCCAGCGGTTTTTGTAATCCCATCCGGCGAATACATCTACGATGACCGAGTTCGGGTGGAGCCTTACGGGAAAATGAAACAAAACAAATCCAAGATATGCAAATGATGGTGATTTATGGTGATTTATGGTTATTTACACATGTTTATGGTTATTTACCCATGTTCTTCCATCCAATTTCAAACATTTCTGGCAAAACATGGACATATGTCCCTATTCTAAATGCAACTTTGGGAGATGCCCAAACTATCAAACACGTGCATCGAAAAATGGCATGTGTCAAAATGTTTAAAGCTGATTAATCTACCTCAATCTATCTTCAGTAGCCACCCAGAAATATAATCCACCCTCCAGCAATCAAACATATTTTGCTGGACATTTTCCCATCTACTTCGATGATATTCCCGAAGTAAAAACCTCCATGGCTTTGGGAATTTCCCAGCACGCGTCCTGCCGATTGGAGGATTCAAATAGGCGTAGCGAATGGCATCCACCAGCGGCATCACATCGCTCTCTGGACGTCCGTTGGCAAAGGCTTGGCGAAGAGCTTGAATGTACGGCGTCATATGATCTCCCAACGGTTCGTCGACTTCGTCGACTTCGTCGACTTCGCCGTTCCTGGTGTCCGCCCAAAATCGCCACGCAAGAACAGGATATAACAGGATAACAAAAAGTCCAGGAAAGAAATGATGGATTAAGATGGTTAACATATGGTTAACCAATTTGCAGTTTTGTTCCTGGCTTCCTGAAAATCACCCCCTCCAGGAGAAGCAAAAAAAACTCAGTCATGTTTGGATAAAAATGGAAATGGGTCGGAAACAAATGAGAAACATGTATTTATGACGTTCTATCCCAACAGACAAATCCAAACAGCACATCAAAAATTGCGTTAAACGTAGTTCCTCAATTTTCGGTACCATGACTTCATTAGGAAATAAATGGAAACTACAAACATTCCCCAACGGGCCCACGAAAGAAACTATGTTCAGATGTGTTCAGTAACCCTCCAATTCTTGGGGGGTTTAAGGCAATTACACCCATAGCATCCCATATCATTTTTTGGTTAGGATTGTAAAACCCATAAACCAATAAAGTGAAAGTGTGAGCCATTCTGAAAATATCCAAGATTCTGTTCCTTCTTTTTTTTGGCCTTCTTCTTTTTACCATGTTTTTCACCCTGTCCACTTTCATCTGGCATCTGTACAGGGAGAAAAGCATCGTCTGGTGGATCATCCTGCAGTTCCGCGAATCGGCTCGGAAACTGGGAGCGAATGGTGAACAAAAATGAACGAAACATCGATTTGAAGCCAACCAAACATAGAGTCCGTAGAGATTCCAGAAAGTCTCAACCAAAAAGGGCCCAGAGATGGCCAAAAAATGATGCGAGAAAAAGTGGCTCAAAACCAAGCTGTCCACTGTCCTCGGTCGGAGGCTTGAAATTTTTCGCTTTCTTCTTTCCACCCTCCTCCAGGGTTGTAGCATCTCCATTCAAATGAAACAAAAACCAATGGAAAATGGAAAAAAATGAATGAAATTCATGTCGTGACGTTCCACTATATTTCTTTTGCCCGTTCCAAATTTGTCTAATGCATCTTGATACCTTTTCCGACCTGTCCTCTTTTTTCGGTGGGCTTTCCGTTAGGTTGCGCATTGCTTTCCTCTTCGGTTTCGGAATCAGAAAGTGGCGCAGCTCGGGTTTTCCCACCATGTCCGGAATGCGCCCATGCATCGGAAGCCTCCTGGGTGTCATAGTGTTGTCACATTGGGAAGGAAAGTCAAGGATCAAATCCGTCTAAATATGGGGGGAAGAGGAGGTTTGAAATGTTTAAAGCCTCTCTGAATTTGAATTTGGGCGTTTCCCAATTTTTGGGGCAAACCCGAAGGTCTCAAACCATCGATGTGTCCGCTTTCCATTTCTTGCTTTTGCCCAAAGATGTTTTGACCATTGAATTTGTATGAATTTGTCGGGTTCTGTCCAAACACACGGACATAGCATAGGAACGATAGGAATGAAACCATCACTCGCACCAGCAAACACAACGGACCTCTGGGATGATTTCCGATCATTGCCAGTTTGCATCCCCATATCTTCCCCATAATATCTATCTATCTATCTATACATATTTAATGTATATATATAATATATATATATATACTATATTATATTCTAAAATTAAATTCCATTGTTCATATTCCTTTTACAGGTGGTATGACATCCCGAAGTCGTGAGTATATGGCCATACTTATGCAGGTTCTATCCCAATGTCTGGCTATAACATCTTATTCACCATGGTTATACCCATTGCCATACCCATCACCCAACTGCACCCACGTGTAGGTCTTCAATCCCCAACACATTGGGTAGTATAAGAAGTAAACTATTCATCAACCATCTGGGACGAGGGTGAAACCCCACTAACCATCCTCCATCCCCCAATAACCACCATCCACCGGACCTGTGTTTGTCAGCCTCGTCCTCTGTTTCAGTGTCAGGTTCGTCATACTTCGCCCCCTCACTTTCGCTGGCAGCCGTGTCAGCCTTCCTTTTCGATCCTTGGGGGTCGTGAAGTTGACCAACGGCATGCAAAACGTCATTTCCGAACTGGTATTAGACACCATTAAGCCATGAATATCTAAAAATGGATCATAACAAGGACAAATTGAAGATCAGTAAATATTATCAATTCTATAGTATTCACTATAGGCTGATGTAGGGAGATTCGAAAGGAAACCAGTGTTTTGACACACACTTGCTCAGAAACATCTTATCGAATTACTGATGTGGAATGCATCGTACGTGCAAAAAACACTCCAGTAAACCTGACAGGAAATGGTGAATGACCAGGCGTGAGAAACAGTGTAGAAGAATTCTGCCGCTGAAACTGTAACAACGTAGTGGACAGCGTGTTCAACAGTTAAAAACTATCTGCAGGTACACAACTGGGCGTCCCCAGTTGCTTCCCCTTCAGTGACATAGCTTCGTTGGGCAAGGTAGTCACTGAAGGCCTTGCCCCCCTGCTTTTGTTGGAAAATCAAATGAAAAAGCCAAAAAGGCAATGTCAAATTGGAAAACCATTGAAGCACATCATCAAGCAAGTAAGAAGTTTTACATCTTTTCAGATGGTCCACACACACACACCCTCCCGCAGGAGGGTGGGACAATAAGGTCCCGACAATGAGATGAAAATGAAGAGGAAGGGAAATGAAGAGGAGGTGAAGATGACAATGAGATGAAAGTTACTTAACCAGGACGCAAAGAGGGGAACGCAAAAGAAGAGGGAAAGAGCAAACACCAACACATGAAACCTAGCCCAGAACGGGCAACCCTGGAAAGGCAAGGGAAAAGAAAAGCGGAGGCCGACGGAAAACGGAACAAGACCAGCGGAGGAGGGGGAGGACAGAAGCGCCTGAACCAACCTGACACGGCGAAAACCTACAACAACCTCAGCACGCAACGGGCCAAACCTACCTGGAGAGAGGAGAACGCAAGAACACATGAAAAAGGGACCCATGGGGAACTAGTTAATGACATGATGCATCCACAACGCATGCAAAATTCGTGATAAGGCTCAAAGGCCCTCGGCTTTCAAGTCACAACCCTCTGGACGGCTTACGTGTTCAACCCCTGAATTACGTGCACAATTTCAACCTCACCGAGAAACCAAAAAAGGAAGTGGCCAAACCTGGAAAGCATGTCCTGTAGCCTTCACATGGTAACATGTCATGTGAAAATGTCGAGCTCCGTACTCTCTTGGGCATCATTGAAAAACGGATGTTGTCGCGGCTTCCAGCTATGCAGAACATGGTGAAAATGGAAAAGGCGATGCCCAGTACTGCGGCAAGCAGTTTCAACACTCACCCGACCGACAGAGTGAAACCTGAAAAGTGAACGGCTGTTTCACTTTACTTAGACGAATTACTAATTCAAAAGTGTAAATTCAGAGATCGTTTTACTGTCAACTGTTAGCCTAGAAAGGCTTTCCCCGAAGGGCTCATACCACCTTGTCGGAATTCGGCATGAGTGACACACTTGCTCAGAAACATCTTATCGAATTACTGATGTGGAATGCATCGTACGTGCAAAAAACACTCCAGTAAACCTGACAGGAAATGGTGAATGACCAGGCGTGAGAAACAGTGTAGAAGAATTCTGCCGCTGAAACTGTAACAACGTAGTGGACAGCGTGTTCAACAGTTAAAAACTATCTGCAGGTACACAACTGGGCGTCCCCAGTTGCTTCCCCTTCAGTGACATAGCTTCGTTGGGCAAGGTAGTCACTGAAGGCCTTGCCCCCCTGCTTTTGTTGGAAAATCAAATGAAAAAGCCAAAAAGGCAATGTCAAATTGGAAAACCATTGAAGCACATCATCAAGCAAGTAAGAAGTTTTACATCTTTTCAGATGGTCCACACACACACAAAACAATTTCTAGGATGGATTTGCCGACTTTTGCTTGGCTTTCGTAAAAAAGGAAAACACCCGATCGCAGTTCCCACGAAAGGAACAAACATCGCCGTCCCACCAGGGATCCATATGGGACTCTGATCGTGATCTTCTCCTTTTGGTCCATCTTTTCCTTAGACTTGCGTAGGGTTTAAGGAAGGGGTCATTCAAAAACATGGTGCCAGTTGCCCATTTCTGGTGGATTAACCACAGGGAAAGTTCAATAAAAAATGCAAAACAACAAAAGATGCTTGCAAGAATGGTTCCCGATGTTTGGCAAAATGTATCAAAATGTCTGAAGATCAAATCCAAAGGTCCTTTTCTTTTGGATCTTTCGCGATCTCGTTCATTAATTCTCTCCAAAGAGTTGGGTACTTCCGTCTGGGCACTTGCTCCTGTCAAGGGATCAACTACTAGGCATCCTAACCATGGTTTGAATCATAAAATCTGAAGTTTTTTTCTGCAAATTCTCCCCTGTTTCGAGCATCAAGACAACCATGCTCCGATTTTGCAGGTACCGCCCTGAAAATATTGAAAACAAAAATGAACCTCCCAAAGGAATTGGCTCTGAAGGATGGTAGACCACGGTAGACGACCATAGGAATTTAGAAAACTAAATGCGACTTCAAAATTTAAATTTTCAGCCGCACCAAAAACAATAATGCCAACGGCGGATTAGATATTTTTAGTATATGTTCGTTCTTGTATTTAGATGCACCATGAAAAAGTAACAGAGTGTCAGTTTCTTTGGGTGGTACTCCCTAACCCAGTCTCTCCTTCTTTACCAAGCGCTCTTGGAGCTTGTCTCTGCTTTCCTGTTCGATAAAATCATCGTTTTTTAGAGGCAACCTAGGATTTGCGCCAAAGATGGTCCCAAGAACAAACCCATTTCTGATGATGCCGGAAAATGTACCCAAGAAATAAATCATGACCAACTCAGAAGTTCCAGGACATTAAGCATTTATATTGAATGATATTGGTAGTATTATCATGTATTATCCCATATTTTCCGGGAAAACATGGGACAACGTATCAGAAAATCATCTGCAAATCCACGCAGCTTCCAGCCACCAACTTCAGCTTCCAGATAGGTGGTGACATATCGCATTTGTCTCGGAACCTGCACGGTTCCATTCAACTTCAACTGCGCGGTGTTTTTTCTTGCGATGCAATTGGCAGGAGGTGTTGATGTGTTGATGTGTGAATCTATATCTAAACGTGCTTTTTGTTTGATTTGTGTTTGTTCTACATATTGAAAAAAACATTGAACAACAAACACACATTGAAGTACAGAGACAAACAAAAACGTGAACACATATATCATATATGATCAAACATGTTCTGTCATATTGCCTATCTTAACTAATATAGAAAGAACATCAAACACAATGTAACCACCATTTACCGCGTTTACCTGTTTGTTTCGACCTGGTTTTTGTGGCGGTAGGTCATGTGCTTCTCAACGGTGCTGTGATGTTGAATCAGCCACGACAGCATCATGTCGGGAGTGCCGAAGCTTTGGATTTCGGTGAGCCAATTCCAGCCTCAAGGGGCGGAAAGAAAATAAAACGCAGGCAACTGGGTCTGCATAATCATGTACAGATCGCATGTATATATATATATATTTATTTATTTACTTATAATACATATTATACATACATATATGGTACCCCCATGAGATCTACTGTACCTCAAGGCATTTATTGCACACACACACATATATATATATATTTCATATATATATATCATATATATATATATATCATATATATATATCATATATATATAGAATTTAGAATTATATAACTGTTGGGTTTATGTGGTGGACGCATCCTTAGTTGCGAGGTCATACCCCGAAAGGTGTGGAGATTCCCCATCGTTGGCGAAGCCCCTTTTTTGCTGGGGAAATTCTCTCATTTAACATATGCCTTACTAATTGATTTACCCATTAAAAAAACACATTTCCATAGCCACATTAAAGTACCGGTAAACATTGCGGTAAGCAAAGCCAAGCTGCACAACATCTGCTTGAATTTTTTATGGGTCCTTGCAATGTTCAGCTTCAAATCCTTCAAGGATTCCGTGAGATTCGTAAACTCAAGCCTGGATGTTGCGATCCAAATGGGCTCTCGTGTATGCGTGCAAACACACACACATATATATATAGGTACATGTAGATATACATTGAAGTATTGTATATGTATATATATATATATACTGATATATTTGTAATATCTATCCATCAATGAAAAAACGTACAAGAAGATTGCATTTTTTCTGCCCGTTTTGGTTTCCCATTGGTGGATTGACCCATTGAATTTCATCCAAAACGATGCTGAAGCAAATCCAGCCAATCAGAGTGAGTCGTCTGCAAATTGCCGCATCATCGATGAAACAATGTTCAGCTTCAAGCTGTTCGAGACCTCCACAGAAAATCTGGATTTTGTGGCAAAAAGTATGGATCAATGGACGTGCACCCCAATGGTTCAAATGGTGGAAATTAACCCGTAGACGGTATATTCATGGTATCTCCCACTCCTGGGATGCCAAGTGATTTGCAAAACATCCGCGATTATCAACATATCTAACATATCCATATATTACATGGCATATTTACCAGGGCCAAAAACATGGGCGGCGAACTGTCAAGATTCCCTGGAAGATTCAAAATTATCTCAGTTTGCTATATTCTACTAGGAATCAAGGTGCTTGACTGTTTCCCACCCCCGTGTACTGGAAAGTCTGGAGTGGTCAATTGGATTATTGAGGACATAGTGTTTTCACCAAAACTTGAAGACCCCAAGTTATCGGAACGGTTATCCACCACAGCTGTGGACATTTGTTTTAACATGCTTTTACTGAGAAAACTCGTGATTTTAAGGATAATCCAATATAATCAAATTATAATCCAATATCAAGAAGCCCAACTTTGATCAAAATTGGATGCTTTACCAAACTCGGATCCTGCCATTGCCTCACCATGTTCCAACATGTTCCAACCTCCTTTGAGGACGGATTGCTGCCGCTGAAATCGCAACTTCCTCAGCTCTGCGGGGAACAACGGTTCCGTTTCCTCCGCTACAGTTGCCACTCGAGGGTGCAACATCCTTGGTCCATGGCGGATCCATGGCGGATTTTTCCAATGCGGGAAGAATGGGATTTCTAGGCGTTTTGACTAATGGGTTTTTGAGGACTTTCAGCAAAAATATCGTTTTTAAAAACAAACCAAGCATTTTGCGAAAAACATACGGGGGCGGGATATGATGGGATATGTAACCAACACTTATCACTTATATGAGCTGGGTGTGTCTGAAAACAGCTGAAATTACGCTACATGATCAATCCTAACATTGATGTTTCTTCTGATAAAAGTATAACTACCCCACTGGATGAAGAGAGGGATGATTGATCAGTGGAATTTGGGTTACTTTATGTTTAAACCAACCAAAATAATGCGATGAACCGGGTGAAAAGCGAGGGGATGTTTAATTATTGGTTTTACAGCGCGATTCCCAGCAGCACGATTTCCCGAGATATTCCGCATGCTGTGCAGGTTGGTATATCTACAAATAATATTATGTATATATATATGTGTGTGTGTATGCGTGGGACAATAAATCAAGTTAAAGGTTGAAGAAATCAACAACTGTTTTTGGACCATACATAAAGATAAACGGCCACGGTGAACTCAGTCAAACCCACATTTTTTCAGAACTATTCGACACTTCTGATAGTACAAAGAGATGGCCAGTTTCATCAACCGGTGTTAGCACGTTACGAGTCATAGTGATACGTGATAACTTGGATTGTTTAATGAGGCAAACAGGTAACCATAAACATCCATAAACCATGACATACCATGACTGCCATGACTTGAAGATGAACAAACATCAACAAAGTCACAGCCCAATGCAGGATGAACCACATCAGGGAAGCAACACTGGCTGAAGCCGTTCACCCAATTTCTCCATCCACATCGCCCCGCGTGGTTCACCAAAATTTCATAACCTGAATCGATCCTAGATCATTTAACTCCAACATCTGGAAATATCTGGATAGAACACTAGTTGCATTATGCACGAGCTAAGAAACCAGAGTTTCTCCAGAAAAATATGATGAAGACGATTTGTCTGCTGAAGTCAGCCCCCATTTTATTAGTTCAATCATGTTAATCCCATCATAGTTTTCCATGTTTTTTCCCACTGGTTTTCATCATGTTTCATCCCACTTTTTGAGGGTCAAAAATCCTCAAACTCCGAAAATCCCAGCGACTCGGTTTTCAGAATGATTTTGCTGGCCTCTTTTAGGCCCAACTCGCAAGTGCATTGCAAGGGAATGAGAAGACAGTGGCAGCAATACCTGGGAATGCCCCTGGAAAACCCCTGGAAAACCGTAGAAAATGCTGGAAAAATATGACAAAGTTAGGGTTTAACAGTTTAACTGACTTGTCCTTCGAAAATAACAATTTGCCCATGAAATGGTTGGGCACAAGTTGGAGTAGACCTTGAAAAATTAGTCTTAGAATCAAAATATGGATTTGTTTAAGATCTTTGGCTTGAGGGACCAGAAGAACCAGAAATCCAAGAAAAAACCACAGTTTTCCCATGTTTTACCAACAATGGTGAACAAACACCACGAAATCAGCAGCTCAGGTCAAGGTACCAATAGGGAAGGTGGTCCTGCAACGTGGGAAGTTCATCACGAAAATTGCTGGATCAATTGGGATCAATCTGGATTAGTAAGAACATGTAACAAATTCAGGGGTAGCTGGGTAGCCGATGTTCAGACAAAACAAACTGGGACCATGAAAGATGATGAGCCAAGTCAAAAAGCCACTTGGATCAAAATAGACTCGACCCTTTGGATTTCATGGATTTGCCAAAGATGGAAGACACCCCAGTGTAGTGCTAGCCAGGGTGAAACAACTACCGTAACAATGTACTTTTTGGGGTTACCAATTTGGAGAATGTATCGTCATTTTGGGGGTAACCATGGGTAACCCCTAATCAGCAGAGTTTATTCATCTGCCTCCCGAAGAAAGCTCCTGCACACGCGCAAATCGGTGGCACCTTTTTTTGGAACAAACCCAGATATGGCAACCCACGCATTCCTTCGCGATGGAGGCCCGTGACAAAAAAGCAAAGGTATTCCTAGTTGTTCCCTCAGAGTGTGCGTGAAACACTGGGGAAATAGACCCAAAAAAACCAAACCTAAACAGCAAATGTACGTCAAAACCATCCATGTTCATAAGACTTATGCAATTTTATGGCGTAAACATGGGAAAAACATGTTTAAACTCGAATCATATAAACCAATCTCTAGATCTAGGCACTCCAGTCTCCATTTATGGTTGCATATGGTTACTAAACAGCCTCCAAGAGTCTGTGCTGTTGGGAAATGGTCCAATGTCACCACAGATATGGCAAGAAATGGCTCGATGTGTTCTTTTCACCTTCATCTCGTGCAGCCAACTGCACCAAGCCTTCTTGGGAGCACCTCGAGGAGCACCTCGAGAAATGGCTTCAGCATGCTTCAGCTGCCACACTTTAGGATCCTTTACCTCCAATTCCCACCGTTCCAACAGCCGGAACCGAAAATGAACAAATATCAACAATATGTAGAAAATAACCATGGTTTCCCGCAAAATGATCTGCATTCATGCTGGGGTTTCCCTTAATTTCCTTAAATCAGTGGAGGAAACCGATGATTTCCTAATTTGTTCTTAAACCAATCGAATGAAAGACTTTAAGAAAACCAAATCTTGAACTTTCAGACTGGAAACCCACTTGTTCCTGGCAACAAAATAGCATCATTTGTTCAATTACTGTGGCAAACCCAACAATAAACCATCCTCTTTGTGTACCACTAGCAGTGGGGCGATCTAAAATGACCCCTGCTCATTGTTGGCTAATGGGATGGTTTATGACAGGTGATTACCACATTAAACCATCATTAACAAGCATGATTTTTCATTGTTTATCTATAATTCACCATCATTATTGACCAAAATGGGGATGAATGAAGATCATTATTCCACCATTGTCCATTATTAGGGTAAGGCAACCCAATTCTCTTCTTCCCGGCTCTGTGCATCTTAGAGGCTCTTAGCCTGAACCTTCAGCATAGGCACAGCGCATTGCTGAAAGCCCAGGCCATATCGCTTGCAGGAATAACAGCAACATGCCCAACGATGCCTGGGAAAAATCGATTTGAAGGAAAATCGAAGGATTCAAACACCGAAATTTTACACTAGAAATAAGTTTAGAAAAATCTGAGATTGGTTGAACTAGGTAATTCTGTTGGTTGAGCTACGTCATTAGGTCATTGTGTTTCTCCTAAGTTATTTTTATCATGCCCTCTGGTAGTCTAACATGGCTATAATTTGGATGGCCCATTTCGTTCGATGATTTACCTTGCTTAAAAGGGGCAACTAAATTGCAAGATAATCGGCCCAAAGGCCGTGATTAGCCCCCATCAACCATCATCAACCATCATCCACCATCAACCCCTATTAGGGCTCATGACCTACAACTACGACATATGATAAACATCGTAACAATGTGAAAATCAACAGCTGAGCCAAGAGATCCAAATCATCCGAGAGTCTTCTGGTGGCGTCGTCTGTGTAGGCAAACACGGCCAGCCACCAAGCAAGGATAGCAGGCTTGGCCGCGGCTAGCTTCCCAAGTTTTTAAGCCGCCTTGGAACACAGCTGGTTTGGCGCTGCATAATTTCATTGCTTCCAAAGGATTCAAAGGGCACATACAAGAACAGGTCACCTGCCAAGAACAACGGAAGTGCGATGTGGGAAATGGATGGAAATGGATGGAAATGGCATTTCGCTTCATGATTCAAATGTCTCACATGATCTCACATGATCTCAGCATCTCACTGGGTTTGTGAATCATTCAACTAGCCCTTCATACCGGGTCCATTGTTTGTCTGAAAATAGGCTGCCCAAAAGCCAATGGTTTATGGTTGTAATATGTTGTAATCATCGGTTTTCCCGTTTCCCTTTCGTTTGATGGCGGATATACAGTATATAGACTATATATATAGACTATATAGATCTATAAAGACTATACCCATGGATACCCCATCTTCAGGCAGACCCAGACCCATTTGTTTGAAACCACCAGCCATCGCCGAAGAGTCTGTCACTTTTGCTGTAGGGAGTCCAGCGCGAGTGAAAAAACTTCTCCTGAGTGCTGGGCCACCCATTCCCAAGAATGTACCCTCTGGTTATGTCAAAATAGCTATTGAAAATGGCCATTTATAGTGAGTTTTCCCATTAAAAATGGTGATTTTCAATAGCTATGTTAGTTTACCAGAGGGTAATGAAGCCATATAAATTCCATGGGTCAATCACAGGTAGGATCCAAAATTGCAAAAACCTGGCAGGAATTGGATGGAATTGGACCATTTGCAACGGAACATCTTCGATGATTTACCTATTAAAACGAAGTGACTAATCGTTTAAGCATGTTGATTTTCCATAAAGCTAAATTGCTATAAATGGCTATATTATGCATCAGAAGGTAACATATTTTTTTTTCTATGGCCCAATATGGGAAGGATCCTTAGCGGCCTCGGATGTTGATTTTTTCGTTGACTCAAAATGTCTGGAAATCAGCCGGGACAAATCATGTTTCAGCAGTTTCCCTGTTTCTCCATTGATGGTGGATTCAAAAAAGAACAACTGATTGCACATCTAAAACTAGCACAATCACTCAACAATTCAATAAACATGGCTAGAGTTGCCCCAGTAGTTGACACCAGTAAGGAATTCAATGTGGTTTCTTACTCTGACACTTGAAAAAACACTGACTAAACAAACGTTGAACAAACATCCAGAAAAATCCAAGATACCCGCGGATCTTTGCTGCCATTGCTCATCATCTTCAGTCTTCCATTAAAGATCACAGGACGTTGCCGGAAAGTCTTTGGAACCTGGGTGTACCAAGCCTTTTCCGCCTGCAGCGAATGGGTGAAGCCTGAGAAGATATCCTTGGAGTCGAAGGCGAAAATGGCATCAAAAATCTCCCAGTAGATTCCCCAGTAGATTTCTGGTGGGAAAAAAAACCGTAGATGTTGCATTTCTGGCGGATTTACCTGGACATTTTGACTCCAGAAATGCAACATTGATTTTGCACCTCCAGGTGTCCAGTGCGTGCACTTTTCGGCGATGCACCTCCAGGCAAAGTGGGGATGGTCATTGGACCGTTGCTCAAAAATTGTCATCTTTGACAGCAATCCAGGGGAACCATGATCAAAAGATGAAAATCCTCCCTCCAGGCCAGGTTCAGTCTAGGTGATCTAAAATCATGGCCACATAATGAGTTTATTTTTTTTAAAGTTAAACTCGGTTTAACATCTTTCGGGACCGTGAAATGCTGCATCCGGTTTCTTGGCCCGTCAAAAATCAAAGATGGTAATGGGATGCAATGGGAAATCCCCAATCAATGCAGCTCTTGACGGGAATAAAATCTAGATGAATGGGAGATGTTCCATTGCAATATATTGCAATGTATGATTAGGAAGGCATACCGTATGTATGAAATCTTTTTCCCACAGTCAATGAATCCGATTTTCCTCTGAATCCGAGTGTCGACACCTCGTAATCCGCATTGGAAGAAGTGACGCGCGGATGCACCCCACAATTCACAAGATTTCATCACATGTCATCATCCATCATCCGTTGAAACATGCTATTTTTATTTGACCCTCAAGCTATATCAACCGTAGAAGTTTCTCTATCCCACGCAACAGTTGGCTCTCCAGATTTTTCTTGGACCTCGGTGGTGCCGAGAATCGCTGCGAGATCCTTGGTCGAAGGATGTCCGGGTCATCTGTGGGATGATTTTCGGATATTTTGGATATTTTTTTTTGGAGTTTTTCAGAGAATATCTACAAAAACCATGGAAAACCATGGGAAAAACAATGGAAAAAAACAATGGAAACAACCATGGAAAACCATGGGAAAAACAATGGAAAAAACAATGGAAACAACCATGGAAAACCATGGGAACAACCATGGTAAATAAACCCTCCCAACCAATCCATTAGCGATAGATTCCACCCATTTTTCATGGTGGACTGTCATCCTGGGAAACTCAGAAATTGTAACTTTCCGCCAAAATGGACAGTATGGATACCCACGGCTCAGAACGGTTCCCTCCATCAACAGCAAAATGATGGTTGATCAACTAACCACAGATGTTTTTTCCCATCATCACGCGCGGACTCTCTGTCTGTTCGCAATGCCACGGCAATTGCAGTGGCAGTTGTGAAAATGAGCTAGCTCAAACTCTTAATGGTCGCGCGAGATCGTTGGCCCTTCTTATTGGCCTGCGTCAGGTGAAACTTTTCAGGTGGTCCATAGACAAATTAGCATCATCCACAGAAATAGCCAGAGTTAAGCCATCCTGTGGTGTGCACACACCTAGGAAAGACAAGTTGATGCCCTTGCACCAACAAATGTCGAGGGAAAAACACTGGCCCAAAGAATGGAAAAAGGCTTTAACCAGCCTAACCAGTGCGCCCAAATTGGGTTCGCTGAAGTTGAACGCATCCCGATCCTGCCAGCAACCGGCACGATGTAGATGAGGCATAGGAACCCACTTCTTGCCCTCAGTGGCCACATAGACTGCCAATTCCAGGAAGGAAATTTTGCAAGCCCCAGAATTCTCATCTCCTGATCACCTGGAGAAAGTTCAACACGAAGACCTGCCCAAAAGAATCCAGAAGAGTCGCAAAGCGAGCATCGTCTCCTAGCGGAAGGTCAGCAAAAGGTGATAGACTAGCGGGGCAACCACGCCCAACCCACAAGTCATAGCTTCCTTCCTCCCCTCTCGCAAGCTGATCTTCCTCATCCTGATCCTGCGCAGTCTTCTCCATGATGTCCAGGTGTAGATCTTGTAGGGCACATACTTCTGAAAGTTCACGTTCATGATGTGCACAAAGTTGCCGGTGAAGACAAAGTAGTTCGTCTCCATGCAGCTTCATGGCCATGTTTGCCTCTCTGTCTGCTCGGTCATTCCATCGAGCCGCCCAATTGTCAAAGTCAAAGTCCTGGTTTACCCACTTGGCGTGACCAGGTACATGATGAATCTGAAGTTGAACCTCACCATGACAAAGCAAGCCTTGGAGTTCCACCCGATCTTCTCCACAATGTCCCTCTGGAAGATCAGCTGCATCATGAAGTAGGCGAACCATCCCTTCCGCTGCAAAAGTGCTATCCGTCCAAATGACTGTGTTCTTCTGCATCTCAATGGCATACTGAACTGCAGCGATAACCGCTCGTAGTTCAGCACGATCATTGTCTTGTCCAAGACCTCCTAAGACTCCATTTGCGACACAGCAATCATTTGTGGCGCTGACCACTGCCCAAGCAGCTAGTTGATAGAGTCGATGCCTCCCTCCATGACAGGAACCGTCAGTAAAAAGATGACATAGTTCTGGTTCAGGGTGGATCTGCGATCTGTTCCATTGATCCTCCATCTGCATAGCCTTCTGTTTGCAAGGGATCCAGTAGGGATTTTGCGATGGTAGAAGATGTATTTGCTTTGCCTTTGAGAATGTGGTCCACTTCTGCAGAATCCCATGATGTTTGGCATAAACATGTTGACGTCGGGGACACGTAGTGCATCTATGTTCCATGGAATCAGGAGCACCACAGAGAGTGCAAGTTGGGGTTTTGCTCAAGTCGTACTTGACATGCTGTGCGGGCTCCACGAAGGATCCATCTTGGAGGCGCCAAATAGAGTGCAAGAAGTGAGGACGTACTCGTGCATGTGCTTGGAGAATGACTCGTCGGTCGATACCCTGAAGGCCCTCAAGATCCTTTCTCTTCTGAACCTCCAAGAAAACCTTCCATGTCCAGGCATCCTTCACCAGCTCATACAACACCTTCTCATCCATTTCAAGCCAAAGATGCCAACAGCCATCGGCATCAGCAACTCTCGGTGCATCAATGGTCCAACGAAGCTGTTGACAGACCTCCAATAGTTTTGCAAAAGGCCCTTGCTTCATCCCGCCATCAAAACGGTCCATGTAGTCCTTCCACATCTGTGCAAATGACGGTCTCTTCCTCGCAATACGACGAAAAGTTGTCAGCACATGCCACGCTTGATAGAACCCAGGATCACATTGTTCATGACAAAGAAGACCAAGACGCAGGCCCGGAGCGGCTCCTGCCATTTGATATCCAAGGGCCTTCATTGCTTCAGTGCGCAAAGACTTGATATGCGCCCAGCCAATGGTGCAAATTGAGACTCCATAGAACGCCTTTGGCCATAGAGCTTGACGTAAGAGACGCTGCTTCTGCCAATTTGGAGCTAGGCATCGTCGAAGCTTTGGCCAAATAGAATCCAGGGACGTGAATCTCTGCGTCTGTGACTTAACACTCCTGGATCTTCCATAATTCAGTTGCGCTCCTAAGTCTTTTGCAGATCTGACCACATTCCACCCCAACATTTTGGCTTCTTTTCTAGTACCAGCCTCGCTGGTCCAAATGTAGGATTTCTCCTGGTCCAACTCCAACTTCCACATCTCTGTCCACGTCTGCATGGTAAGGACCCCTTGTTGAAGAGGTCCCAAAGCACGTGCAAGAAGTTCCAGGTTGTCCACATATGAAATGGTTCCACATCGTTTGGAGAATTCATTCATGTAACTGTGAAGCGTTAGGCCAGCAATGGACAACGCCACACAAGACAGAGAGCATCCTTCAGGAAAGCAATGGTTGGAAAATACCGCATCACTAACTTCACCACGAACCAAGAACCGTCTCTCTGTTGTGTCCAAGAAGTGTTTCCAGAGTTGCATGGTCTTGGCTGGTAGTCCAAGATGATGTGCGATCTCGAAGATCGGATCTCTAGGCAATGACTCAAAGGCTTTCTTGATATCCGTCACAAAGCCCATGAGATCTTCCCCTTCTTGGACACTTCGTTCAACAAGCCCTTGCAAAAGCATCCATATCTCGGCAACCTCCTTGCCCGGCATGAAACCCAATTGCCTTTCATCTACCAGATGTGCAAGGTGCTGCAAGAACCTTTTTGCCCTCAATGAGCCCCAGGATCTGTAGATGACAGAATAGATGATCACCGGTCGATACTCGTTGACTCTGGAAGCCCCTTCCTTCTTCTCCAAGGAGTGTACAAAACCAGTTCGCCATACCTCTGGCCAGACCGTTTCTTCTTCACATTGATTCAGAATGCTGACCAATTCATCCTGGAATTGGGACGGCATCTTACGAAGATCAGCATGACTAAGTCCGTCAGGTCCACGTGCCGCACGAGGTCCATACCTTCGGTTGATGTCGGTCCAAGATTCCACCGAGATGTCCACATGTTCCAGATGTCCAGGAGGCAGATATGCTTTGGCAAAGTTGATGATTCTACTCCATTCTTCGGGTTTTGGCAAGGGGTCCTTCCACCATCGAGGTTTCCAGAACTCAATAAGCTGCTGGTGCAATTTGTCGGCTGTGGAAGCGTGCTCAATGACTTCTGCTTCCATGCCATCCTGAAGGATCCATTCACCTTCCAACGTGATGACTTGACCTTCTTGCGCGCTTATGGGAATCATTTGCTCCAGCACTTTGAGCGATGCAAGCAGTTGCAATTCGTGGTTAATATCAACATGGATTTGCGATTGTGCAGCATTGCTACCAAGAACTGTGGTATTTGTAGCCTTCTCAAGGTAGTTTACTCCTCCTCGAGGCTCTTTCCGAGTGACTTCAAAGATCTTGTTGGTGTTCGCTTGGAACTGGGCTGAGATCAGGTTTTTTCGTCTTCTAGCATGCCACGATTCGAAGTTCCTGTAGTTGATGTGGAAGTCCTCAAAGATGGCCCTGCAGCTTGCTGCAGTTGGGGGTTCGGAAGGAAGTTCTTCCGGCAGTCCAGCTAGTTGAGTAGGTCTGGTCCTCCACCATGTTTCAAAGGTGCCTTCAAAGCCCTTCGATTTCCTGATGGCCCTCCACAGTGAGGTTCTGTACTCAATCGCATCTGGAGTATTTTTGTCGGCATTCTTGGCGTGAACCATACTCTGTAGCCTTCTCAATTGCTGGAACCATCTATGAACCGCTCTTCCAACAAAATCAGTTTTGATTTGTACTTCACCAGGCCTTGATGGTTTGAGTAAAGGGGAATCCACTGCTCTCACCACCGGGTCTTTCTGTTGACACCGTCCTCTGCAGGAGGTGGGTAGATGACCAATGGAGGTGTCCATGAATCCATCAAAACTGTTTTCATAGGCTCTAGCCCATTGTAGTACTCGATGATCAGGACAGGAGGCTTGTACATCTGGAAGATGATGTTGTGCCTGTCTCCACTCTTCATATCGTACAGCATCCCATGGCACCTCTGCTGGAAGCGGCCAAACCCTTTGTTGTAGTTTGACAATCGGAACTTCCAGGCACGCACCAATTCCCGAATGATCAGCAAACCAATTCCAGCATTTGACATCCTTCACGAGCGGGACCATTTCTGGAGACAACAAAACATGATCAGTGATCGAGGAGCTCCTATAAGTCATGCAATGTTCTTGGCCCCACCATTCATATGCAAGATCTTGAGCATCTTTCCAGCCAGCGTGTTGAAGCACCTCCCAACCCCTGAGAGCGTCCAGATCATGGTTGAAGTCACCCACAATGTATCGAGGCCCTCCTCTAGACAATCCCAGCTCTTGCACTAGATTGTCAAAAAGCAGGTTCGTATCTCGAAGTGCATTTGGCCATGTCGGACTTTTTGGCCATCCGTACATGGTGGCTCCCATCAGACTGAAGGGTCCGTAGAAACTTTGCACCACTTGTACTCTTCCAATGTTGTGCTCCCCATTTGGCCATAGGCATGTCACAGGCTTTGAAGTCCAGTCTGACAGAGTAAGTACTCCCGACCAAGTGCCCGCTGAAGATGATCTGGCACGTATTGGAAGAGGAGCCCCAGGCACACATTGAAGATCACGTCCTTGTGCACGAGCTTCATGCTGTATCTTTCGAATGGTAGCTTTCTGATTCACTCCAGAGAGATGCGTTTCTGTGATCCCCCAGATTCCTTCAGGAAGTTCAGCCAATTGTCTTTCTTTGCCCACAGTTCCCGAGGGATTTGCCGTACCAATCCAAAACCTTGGTCCTGGATGTTGAGCTTCTCCAAATCTAGTGGATCCTTTCAAGGAGAATGCAGACGTGCTTGCCAAGAGAGTCGTGCAAAGGAGCCAAGACCATCTCCCAGCAGAGCAGCAAGGTTTCCAAGTGGTGGTATCATGGTAATGGCTTCCATGACGTCTTCTTCGACCTCTGCCCCGTTTTCTCTGCGGCCATATGATTTTGAGCAACCTCCAAAGCCGAAGCAATGCCCAGCCGACCCACAAGATGCAGTGATGCATTGTGCCAGGGAGGTACTGCGGTGTAGGAGTAGATCCCACTGAGTGGTTCGTGGTGTGCATATTGTTTGTTTCCACATCAACTCCACTCTCATCATTCTCTTGCATAATGTTCATGACAGTGTTGTTGGAACTCTGATGAGTCGGGACAGAGTACCAAACCCTGACGATGTCACCATCAGCAACGTTCACCGGCCTGTTTCGAACTGTCAATACTCTTTCATTATGAGACACCAAACAAGCATATTCAGCACTCAGCACATTCTTGATCAAGATGTAGTCCTCGAAGAAGCTCATCCATGGTTGATGGTGTGCGCACAAAGGCCATGACAATCTCAAAGTGACCATAACGCTCTTGATCTTGTGGCGTTCCTTCTACCCGAAATTCGGCAAGGATAGCAACTTGTGGCGTATCATTGCTACTTGATCCAAAGGATTGAGAGTTGCCGGCAAGGTGAGCGCATAGATCATGTGGTGCGGTTCAACAAAGTTTCCATCCCAGTGATGTTCCAGCATATCCGACTCCACCAGTGCTTCAAGTAGAAGTGGGAACTCAAAGCTGCGCCGCGTGCCCCATTGCACTTCATTCATTCGCACTGGATGTACTTCTGCAGGGTCATACCCGTCTGCCGGTGCAATCATCAAGATGGTGCCTTGTCGAAGCACGACTACATTCGTGGTTCTTTGCAAGTCATGATAGACCTTCACCATGTTGCGTTGTAGCAGAACAGCATTTGCTTGTCCTTTCTCAGCTGGATAAGGTCAGTCCTCATGTTCAGCCCAATGTTGCGGGAGAAAGCTTGCGTAAGTGGGACGTCACGAGCTTCTGCATAGGGGCTCCAGTATCCAATGATGCGGAGAGTCTCCCTGGCCGAGCTGATCCCACTGACCACAATGTAATCACCACCCTGTACGGTGTACTCCTCAAAGGCCTCCAATGGACTACCATTGAGGTTGGAAAAGCAAGGTCGTTTATGACATTCATGGCCTCTCACATCTCGGAACATGAGTGATATGCCTCTCATCAGTCGAGAATGCACTCTGGGTTCTAAAATGCCATAGAACCGATTCTGCGTCAAATCCCAAAATTGATACTCGAACATGACAGGCACTTGCCCCAGTTGAAGATCACTGTTGGCTTCAACCATGAAGGCTTCATATCCTTCTTCCAAATACATGGAATCAGTGATAGTCTCATGAATGGCAAGAAGTCTCCACCTTACTGTTGGCAAGCGCAAGTCTGGCCAGTGCTGTACAATTTGTAACTCCACATCCTCCAACGTATGGTGCGCTTGAACGTGAACTTGAATTGTAGTGCTCCGACCAATTCGAAAAGGATCAGGCCGATAGAATCTCCATTGCCGTTCTCCTCCACGATCGTGAAGTATGGTGACATCACCTTCAACTCGATCTCCGTAGAACTCTTCTTCCCAATCCTCATCCTCAATGTCATCATCCTCTGCTGCAAGTTGGTTTGCAGCTTCCACCGCCAAACGTCTTTGTCGGAGGAACTCCAAAAACTGATCTGTGAGACTGTGGGAGATCATGGCTGATTGATCACTTCCCGTGGCTACGGTCCTGAGATCTCCAGCGCTCTTGATGCCCACTGTCTCTGGAACAAAAGAGATGAAGCTGCCCTCATGCTGCATCTCATTCCCCATATGGTCCACAGTCGCTTCTGCATGAACTCCTCCTGCAAAGAAGAAAAGCAGCATCAGCATCCACCATTTCACCCTGTTGAGACCCGGCGCCCTGCGAGAAGGGCAGGGCCCGGGCGCGCACCATCATTCCTGTCTCTGCTTCTTTGCCAGGAGAGATTCAAGGTTGGCAAAGCCCGATCGAATTTCTCCAGACAAAGTGTTGATATTCTGCTGATTCTCCCTTACTTGGCTGGTAAGGACATTGACATCCTGGCGAAGGGCCGCTGTGCTCTGTCCTGCCTGTCTCAAGCTTCAGGAATCGTTGCTCAGTGGCATCCTTGAGGCTGCTCTCCACCACCTCATGGACCTGATGCTGTAGTCTCTCCAGCTTGGATGTACGAGCCATCTGGGAGTCTTGTTCATGGCCATCTGGGAATTTGTTGTACCCTCCCCATGGGTCAAGTCCATTCCACGGCATGATGTTCTCTTTGTCATTCTCAACTTCTCGTGTTGAGCGGGCTGGCGTCTTCTTGAGGAAGGTCTTGGTCTTCGTGGGTGCCAAGATAACCTGCTCGGCCTTCTCAATGCTCTGGCGTTTGTGCATTGTTACCAGGACATCCCCATTGCTGGTCTGGAAGACGTTCATTGGGGGAGGAGTTTCTGCTCCAACCAGCCATCCTTGTCCATGTTGGTCCGCCTTGTACGGCTGTAGCACCTTGGCCTTCCAACCCCATTGCTTCAGAAGCTCCCTGATGCCAGCTGTCTGAACTCCATAAGGTACTGGCCTGATCTCGTAGATGGACTGCACGTTAACCTGCTGGAAGGGTTTGTCTGGGTAGATCTCCTTATGCACTGCTTCTGCATCTCGACCCAACACCCTGATACCAAACCTTGATCCAAATCGGACCAGAGCCACACCTCGATCGCTGACTTTCAAGCGGTGCATCGCCTCAGGCATCTCAACTCCAGGGAGCCAGATGACAGTGAAGTCCTCCGCTGGGCCCTTGCCGTCCTCTTTCCGTGGTTCCAAGTAGATTCCATCTTGGCCAGAACGATTCTGAAGACCTTCTGCACAGATGTTGGGGATTCGCATATGTACCTGGAATTGCTCTGCCTCCTCTGGTGAGGTGCGCTTTCCCTTGCTTCCATACCAGCCTCTGTTCCACAAGTCAACCACCACTTGATCTAACTCGCAGTCAACTGGTGCATGGAAGCGTTTGCACCCAGGTCCACATCGATCTCCTTTGCACAACATCAATCGTGGCATGGTTTCAACGATCTTTCTGACTGGTGCGGAAGTAAACTCCCTCCAGTTCCCATTCCACTCATCCCTCCAGACCATGAGCTTGAACGTCCTGGTGTCAATGGTTTGCATGGATGCCACACTGGCATCTTGCCTTCTGATCACCGAGCAGTCTCCAAGCTGAACCGGAGAGCCCTCAATGAGTACGATCTCCTTTGTGGGAATGTATGTTGCCGGAAAACGAAGGTTCACCACCGGCATCAGTCCCTGGCTAGAAGGTGGGACAGGAGCCACCGTGAGAATCGCCAGGGCATCCATTGTGATTGACTTGTCTTCTCTCAAGAAGGGTCCCACGTCATCCAGGGTCCCGAATGCTACTCCAGATTTGTCTGCAGCTACATGTTCCACCTCGAGTTGAGACAGTTCACGGCCATCTTCCGACACAAAGGTTCCAGGCACCAGAGCAAGGGATTTGGGATCCATATTGACCCTGCTGCTCATTGCCTGATGGGTGTCCTTCTTCTTCTCGGAGACCGACGCCTTGTACTTGGAGTGAGCCCTGAACTTGATTTGCTTCTCCAATTCATCCGGCTTGACCCAGAGATAGTTGAATTTGGGCTGAGACCCCAGAGCCTTCAAAGCTGCTCATGGATTGCGACTGTGCAACGCTTTCTCAATTGCACCTTCACCAATCTTCTTGATGGCCAGGTTGGCTCTTTCCTCTGTTTTCTCTGTCGGAACGCCATGATGATGTAGGAGATCTCGAAGCTCCATGATGAGCTGACCGTCTCCTTGAAGTCGTCCACCTCCGTAAAGGCTTCCCTCATTGTTGATCTGCAAGAATGCATGCCATTCTTCTTCACCAGGAATCAATCGGTCCCTCCAGTATCCAATGGCATGTCCCAGGTGCATGAGAGCTACGGTGCCACATGTGTGCGAGCTTTGCTGTGAGTATTCCGCATTGAAAGAAACAGACAGTGTTCTGACAACCAGGATCTGTCGAGCTTTTTCAGCAAACCTCCATATCATGTGTCTCGATTGATGGTCCAATCCATCCCAGCAGACTACCTGCAGCAGGTTGCCGATGACCTTCACCTCCAAGTAGATCCAATGTCCATGTAGTACGGCACATCCACGTAGAACTCCATGAAGAGCTGCCACCAACCAATGGTTGAGCATGACATCATTCGTGTGGAGGATCAAGAGAGGAGCACTGAATGGCAGGGACCCATGTGCTCTTTCCGAATTGGTTAATCTCAAGAAGCATTCTCTTGGCCCAGCGATCAACACACTCATTTCCGAGTCCCTTTTCTCCCAAGCTTCGGCTGCCCCAGGCACAAACTTCATGATGGAGGTGGTATTGCACAAAAGTTACCTTCTGCATAATTCTTTCATCCAATCTCCATTCATTTCCTTCATCATCAAAGATGCCCTTGTAAAAGACATGGTGGAGCTCTGGAATTCGTCTCATCACCTCAAAAACGAAGATGCCCATCATCACCTCCATGGTATGGTCAGCTGTTGAGCCATCCAGCTGTTTCACAATCACTGTCACCCAGATTTGTTTGGGTTCCAAGATCTTTCTCTGTTTCTTTCGGCGATGTTGAAGTTCCAAGGATCCAACCACTGCTCCTTGGGAGATGTCGTAATTGTGAGGGAGTTTCCCATACACATCCGCCAAGCTCCAAAGCGTGCCACCACCTTGAAGACGATGTTCGGCTGTTAAGATCTCTGCCACAGTTGTGGCACCACCCAACTTCACCATGATCTCTGTGCCATCATGCTCATCTGTCAGACAAAGTGGTACTAGAGCTTTTTTCGGAACCATCCCGTGAGCTTGTCGAAGCAGCCACATCTAGTAGAGAATCAAGGCCTTTTGCGGTGTGCCCGATGTTGCGTGTGCTGCATCAATCAAATGAGCTCCAACCCACGCAGACTGCAAGGGTGACGCACATTGCCCCACCAAGCATAGCCCTGCTCGTAGATCTTCAGGGAGCTGCATCTGCGGGTCCAGGCCACAGAGAATTGCTGCCTCTCGAGGATGAAGCCATCTCTGCCGTCCAGTCTGCATACTGACAATGTAGAATCCCCTGACACCATCCCGTACCAGTCTGTAGTGGCTGAATCCAGCTTTTCTGCATCCGCATGGACATCCTCTCAGCGATGTGCTGTAGCTATGCAAGAAGCATGGCACTACGTCATCTCGTGCCAGCTGCCTGAGATCGTTTCCAAATCTCCTATCTCGCATGACCTCCAGCTCATAGTCGGTGAGTTGAAGATCCTCCTCAACAGTCACATCCCATCGAGGCCAGAGCGGAAACAGCGTCCAACCATCTGGAGCATGGAGTCCTCAGGAAAGTCGGGGATGCTGTAGATCTTGTACTCCACTGGCTTCATAAGAGCCCACCATCTGGTTCTACGACAAGGCCATGTGCGATCCAGACCACGGTCTGCATGGAGTCCATGTTGAGGCTCCAGGCAAGCTTTTGCAGTCCTTCCTGAATGTAGCTCGCATCCAAGGCACCCTTGACATTCTCCAAGAGAAGTGCGCTGCATTGCTGCTCCCAGGCTATTTTCAGCACTGCATGGAGCGGTCTGGATCTGCTGTCTGCCTGTCCCTTCATGTCCCCTTGACTTGACAGAGGTTGACAGGGGAAACCTGAAGCCACCAAACATCTAAGGGGGCCAGGTGTCATGTGCAAGATGGCCCAGGGGTTCCATTCCTCCGAAGCGTTTCACACATCAAAGGGTTACAATCCATAGCTGCTACTTTGGGGAACCCTATGGCCTCCAGTCCTTGCGCAATGCCCCCCATGCCAGCGCACACTTCTTTGATGCCACATGGGATCTGCTCTGGCTCAGCAGGGATGTAGACGGCCACCGTTGATGGCTTCCATTGGAGGTACCAGGTCTCGGTGTCGGCCTGGTAGGTCTTCCTCACATCGTAGATGGCGACCAAATGGTCTGGTTCGAATTGGTGGCCTTGCACAACGGCCGATTGCCTGTGGGCCATACACAGGACATCTGACGCACTTAGAGTGCGCACCACTCCTGTCCAATCCTCACGAGCGGATTGGAGCGGTTCATCCATGGCTCCACCACGTGTGAACGATCTCTCGACCCTCCGTTGAAACTGCCCCACCACTGGTAGGGGTCGAGCCGAGGGCTTTTTTCCCATCATCAAAAATGGTTCCCCAATGTATGGTTGGAAGAAGAAACCCATCATCTATAGTATACTTCTCTGGCGGGTCTCAAACTTCTATATGCACCAAAAGTGCAACTTTAATGACAAATTTCATGAGAATCCACTGGACTTTTCGATGCCAATTTTCAAGTCCAAACATGTTCAGACACGAATTTACCCATGAGTTATCCATGGTTATCAACTCTATCACTTATGCCACCATATCGTTGACATTATTGATTTAACGGTGTAACATGGAACATCATGGAAACCATGTTGGATATCTTCATCACCATCACCGTCTCCTAAATCTCCTAAGAAATCATCCCAGCCAGGCATCATCGCCCTCCTCCTTCCCTTTACGGCTGCCCGCGATGCTGAAGACCTCGTCGAAGTTGATGGCCCGTGGCCAGCCATGAGATCCGATCCGGTAGTAGGGCAGCTGTAAGGCCTCAGACGCTGTCGCTTGAGTCGGTTGTCCAATGTTTCGTCACCGAAAAACATGGAAAAAACATGGACAAAACAAATAGACATAGATACGATCGAGCGCTGAAGTCACGGCACATTTTTTTGAATGTGGACAAATCGCGGTTTTTTGTCGCCACAACTAGGTCTATCCGAAATCCATCAAAACACAGGGATTGCCTTCATTTGAAGGATATAAAGTACCAGCAAAAGGAACACTTTGATGTTTCCATCGATTCCATTCATACTTAGTTTCCATTGCAAATGGGATCAAGAACCTCCATTCATAATTCCATTGGTCCCATTGGTCAATGACAAAATAATCAAATTGAAAAAGGGAATTAATTATGGGATTAATAGTTTTCATTGATTCCATTAGCTTCCATTGATACTGACACAATCATTGGGGTTCCAATTCATTCCACATTATTTCCTGATTATTTTGTATTATTTCGCTATATTATTGACTATTATTGGCCTATGTTTCTTTTAATTTCCCTATTAATTTCCCGATTATTTCCTTACTTTCCCTGTTATGTCGCTTTTTTATTTCCCTAATAATTTCCCGATTATTCCCCTAATATGTCCCTATTGATTTTGCTTTTAATTCCCTATACAGTAAATGTCCCGATTATTTCCCGGTTATTTCCCTATCAGTTTCCTGTTTAATTTCATTACAATATCCTTATCGTTTCCTGACTAATATCCCTGTCATTTTTGTGTCAATTTACAAATTATTTGGCTATTATTTCCCTATAATTTCTTTTTCGTTTCCCGGTTGTTTCCCTAATAATTTCCCTATTTATTTACTTTTTCCCCTATTATTTCCGTATTTCTTCCCTACTATTCCCCGATTATTTCCCCTATTTCCCTATTAATTTAATTTAATTTTCCTGTTGTTTCCCTATTATCCCATTACTTCCTTATTATGCCTATTATTTCGCATTAATTCTCCTACTATTTCCCTTTTTATTTCCTTATTCTTTCCCAGCTATTTCCCCATTATTACCCTTTTCATTTCCCTATGTTTTCCCTAATATGTTCCTATTAATTTCTCCGTTAATTTCCCTAGTTTTTCCTATTAATTTCCAATTTTTTCCCTATTATTTTCCTTATTTTTCCCCTATTAACTACCCTATTTTTTTGACTGCGCCTACCCTATTATTTCCCATAATTATGTTCCCTAAAATTGCCCGATGAATTCCCGATTAAGTTACCGATTATTTTCTTACTATTTCCCTATTATGTCGCTATTATTTGCCTATAATTTCTTTATACGTACCCGATTGATGCACCTATTAGCTCCCTATAATTTCATTATTTCCTTGTTTATGTATTGATTTCACTATGTATTCCTTAATAATGAACCTATTTGTTCGCTATAATTTCGTTCCAATTTCCTATTACTCCTTCGTTATGTTCCTTGTTTCCCCATTGTTTCCTCATTCTGTTGTTATTTCTCTATTGTTTCCATATGTTGTTATTACTTCACCATGTTTTTGCTATTATTTCCTACTGTGACGTTTCCCTCCAGCTAAATATGCTAAACAACCTCACCAAATCTCACCAGCTAATCTGATCGTCCTAGGGCCCGTCGCCGGGTACCCCTCCAGTGCCACTGCTTTATCATTCTCTTAGGACTAAAGTATAGAAACTGACTATAAATTCGACGTATGCACTGTATGCACCATTTTCAGACACGCGCGCAGATACATGTTTTTTTCCTATTTCGCTTTGTTTATGCATACCTGACATGTTACTAATTGTTGCTTTTCTGTCCCACTGGTCCTCAATTCTGCTCTCAAACCTTTTTGTTGGCTTTTTTGCATCTTGCTATCCGATGCTATCCGATGCTATCCGCATCTGTTGTTGTGAGCCATCGTTCCCCTCCAGTTGCCAGATGTTGCCAGATGTTGCCAGATGCCAGGAGAGCGAAGGTGAACAGAATCAAGAAGAAATCAGAGGGCTGAAATTAGGGCATTCCAATAGTTTTTTTCGCTGGTTTTTTTTTCGCTAGTGCTAATGATGCTGGCCCAGAGTATTTCTTTTCCAAATAAAACCTAAATTTCTAAATGGCCCAGAAGCCCATCCCATCCCCGCAGAGTGTCTTTCACTTTCATGGCCAATGGATAAGGCAAAGGCTTGCTTCCAGACCTCGGACGCCAAAATTGTCACAGAAATTCGGTATTTAAGAACAACATCCACGTTAATCTTGCATATAAACAATGATAAACAATGATGTAACTGATTTCTGGTGGACTAACCAACGTTTTTTAACATCCCCAAATCAGCAATCCAGCAGCAAGAAAAACATCGCATTATCCCATATGTAAGCAGTTGCATTAGTACCCTCATATTTTCGAATCAAATTGATCCAAAAAAACCATCAACTCCAGGCAGCATCAGATTCTTGAAGTTCTTTGCGGCAGGTCGACAGTCTGGACACGGAGCCCGAGTCCGGGAATGTTTTTTGGAATGCCATGCCGTTTGACCATGGGAATCCATGGGATGTTCGAAACTGTTTTTGGGGCACATGTTGAAATGGACTGAAAGATGTTGAAAGAGACATTTGCGGAAAACAGCTGCATAATTGCCTATATTTGATGAGAAAAGCCATGGTCTTCTTGACCATTTCCTGGAAAAAGCAACCAACGACTTCATTCTGGAAATTGTCCTTGCAGGCACATTGGGCACCATTGTTTCCAAACACCAAAATCCCGAATCCCAGAGTTTGAAATGTTAAATTTTCCCGGCAATTGAGGGCATATCCCAGAACTAACATAGATATGGGGATCATTTGCGGGGACCATGATGGACCATGTGTTGCCCACGACTTGTCGAGGCCCCATGGGCATTGGGGTTGTTGATGGGCATTTTCACATGGCGAATGATTCCCACCAATTGGGAAATTGTGACCGTGGGGCAGCGTGCTTTTTTTAATATGACATCGCGAAACATTGCGAATACCAATGTTTTTTTGCACTTGAGGGCATTGAACCCAAGGCGAAATAAACATGCTGAGCCTTTAGTTGTTCATTGACACTCTCCAAGCACTGACCATCAAAAAACATTGCTAGATCCAAGCCAATTCACGAATGGACTTCAAAACTTAAGCACCGCGTTATTGTAAATAGCTATGCCTTCACTCAAGGGTGACTTGACCTCAATAGTCAGTGACATGATATACTGATCTCAACCTCTCTCTCGTCTCTCGCTTTCTAACTATCACACTGAGTCTGCTGCATTTCTCTGCAAGATAGGATGCAACATTACAAACTCCTTTGTCTTGAAAGAGCTGTTGCTACAGTATGTGTTGAGATGATATAACCGTTCAAGCTCGCGGAGACAAGACAATATCTTACAGTATCAATGTTTTCTAGCACCAAAATGTCATTTCAAAATGCAAACTCCACCCATCCTTGCAGGATGGTGCAACAGGTTGCTTATATACACATATACTGTCATAGACTATCATATACTGTAGCTGTCTGCAACTGCAAGTGCTTTCTTGTACCTACTTCTTTGCAAGCCCCATAGAAAAGCAAAATTCTGCCCAAATCTGTAGATATCAGGCATTTCTGACAGCATTTGACAGCCCTAAGACCTCTGAGTCCGACCCGTTTTCACCTAAGAAATACAGTATTTGAAGGTTTACTTCATTGATGTTGTTTAATCATTTACTCCATATCAATGATATATCGATGTTCATTTGCATTCAAAAACCTCATATTTATCACATCCCCCAGCCAAATATCCCCCATTAATTTTCCCTTTTTTAAAGGCCCATCTTTTTTTTTGATGAACCGCAGGAAACCCCAGGGATCCCCAGAGTGCGCCTTGCTCCTCCAGGAACTGGATCCACTGCTCTTTCGACTGCACTAGGGCCCACCATCCTGAAATTTCGACTGAATTTCTGGTTGAACATTTCGGGGTAAAACAATAACAGAATAAAGCAACCATGACTGGGAATGGTTCATATTCGAATAAGACTAATAATACCACCTAATGAAAATTATTTACAATATTTACAGTATACGGTGAGTGTAAATTCCATTTTTCATCAGTCTCTGGTAATCGAAGGTGGCAACGGAAGATTGATCTCAGGTCTTTGATTCCCTTCATTTTTCAAACGTCCATTTTGGTACAGGAAATCTCCTGATTTATCCATATCTTATATGGCACAACGCCAGGGTTGAATATGGATATGGGTCAAAACCCTGTACCCGTAGTTCACATTGAAACAACTTAGAGTAACTGGGACTTCTTGATGAATATCATCCAAAATGCCTATTTCATGCGCGTTGGTGATATATCCCCAGTATAGTTGGTTAGTTACAGCCCCTGATCTCCCCTTGGTCTCCTACAAATTCGTTCATTCCCACTATATCTGCGTTACCTTTCTAATTTATAACTAACCTATTAAATCTCATCAAATCCGATAAAATCCTATGAAAAGGATCTCGTTTTGATGGATTTTTCATTTTTTTCCCCGTGGGGAAAAAACACATGCATTTGGGCCAAATAAGCTATGCCAAGCTGGGCTTCTAAGCCAAGTTTCCATGTGGAACGCGGACCTCAAAGATGCACCAAACATGACCTCCCAAGTAGACATGCCTGAGGCAGGGCTTATGTTAAATGATTTGATGATGATGATGATGATGATGATGATTTGATGATGGTTTATGTTGTTTTTCCTTCTCTGATGTTCTTCATCAGGGTGTTATCTCAGAATTAGGCATGCTCGCCATTAATATGTTAGCAAGTCTGGGTTTAATACTTTGCAAAAAGGCATCGGTTTGAGCGGATGGGTGATTCCATCATGTTTGGGAATAGTTTGAGGTATGAAACTATCAAGGGTCGGGATATCTTCACTGAAGATCTAGATGTTTGGGACCTTCGCTGATCTTCAAACCAAAGAAAACGCAGTAAGTTCTTCTCTCTCAGAATTCTCAACCCCCCTCCTTATGAGAAAAACACAAAATACTCTCGACCCTTGCCTGAAATAGGTCAGCTTGCTACTTCTAAGCATATGCTGCAGTTCTGTGCTGCTGTATATTCCTGAAAGCGCGTTCAAAGCATCTGCAGCTTTTGCAGCTTCCGCAGCTTCTGTTTTGGCTTCCGCAATTTCTGCTTCTGCAGTTTTTGCAGCTTCAAACGCTTCTGCTTCGGCTTCCGCAAGTTCTGCTTCGGCTTCCGCAGCTTCTCGTTCGGCTTCTGCAATTTCTGCTTCGGCTTCCGCAGCTTCTCGTTCGGCTTCTGCAATTTCTGCTTCGGCTGCTGCAGCTTCTGCTTCTGCAGCTTCTGCTTCTGCAGCTTCTGCTTCCGCCGGTGCAATTGGATCTGCCATGCTGTGAATTTGGGATGCAAAGTTGTTCGGGTAAGAACAGCCCGTTGCTGGCTGGGTTTCCCACATGGGAGATATGGGTTGATAGGGGTTGATCTTGGTTAATTGTTGGATTCTGCAACTAAACACCAGTCCGTATAGCCGCCACCCCCATGGGGAAATCAAGATGAACTGATTTTCAAAGCACTGAGAAGTTTGCGGTCAAGATCACATGGAGCTGATTGTCTGAATATCCTTAGCCATCCTTCGAACCATTCAAACTTCATGAGCCAAGTCTGCTGGCTGGTCTGAGCAAGCACCCAAGGACAATGACAAGAATGCTTTTGAATGGTCTTCTCAAAAACATGAAAGCATGAATCTGGACAATCTGTAAATCCCACCCGGCTATGCTTGATGTTTCATGTTTAAACCATGAAAGAACATCTGTGCCAAAAAGAGTGTTTTCCTTGCAAAAATCGTGAAGCACTCACCAAATTCTTTGGATCCAACTGGGGAAAATTCATCGAACCGAGGCCAGTACCATGGCGCCAGCATCGTTGACCTGAAGCTAAACAGATGCCGACTTTCGGATGCCGCTTTATCCAAACTCAAACTGTGGAAAAGATCCAGAGGATGTTCAGATGACTCAGATGACACTTTGAGTCATTCCAATACTATCCTATCTGGAACAGAGACTGCTCATCCATGTTGCTTTAGGTATGTTTTCAAGGTCTCCATGTTCTCCATGCTTATGTTGACATATCCACCGCCAACAATCAACCAAGATTCCGGGTGTGTCACGCAAATGTTTGGTTGGTGATTTTATGTGATTTTAAAACTTATCTGGTTGGTGGTTCTAGCCATCTTGGAAAAAATGAGTCAATGGGAAGGATTATCCCAATATATCATGGAAAAATAAACATGTTCCAAACCACCAGTTAAAGCCTATAAAGATCTATAAAGTATCTTTGATTTGCATTCCTTAGCGAACGGAGTAACCCAAATGAAGTGGACACTATCCCAGCTAAAGATGCCAAGTATTGCCAAGTTGTTCCTGGAATAATGATCCTCAAGCGACCTTTCGATGATCTTGGGATGGGGTTCTTTGATCCCTTAAAACCTTATAAGGCATGTAAAAACCATTAAACATTCTCCGAAAACCATGTGATTTCCTGTGTTTCCCGGCTGTGAATCGGCTCCTTCCGCCTTTTTCATCCTTTTTCACCGTCCAACTATGTCCAACTTCAGCTCATCAGTTTCCGCGCCATGAGTTGGTATGGGACCCCAAAGGCACCCTGCAACATGTAGGAAAGCGGCATGGTGCCATGAAACAACGACAGAGACATCTGCGCAGCGCCGTTGCAGCCGGCATGACAGGATTGGCCCAGAAATAGCAGGAGATCTCCGGGATGTAAACAGCAAACGGAGACCTGGAAACATCGAGAAACAGCAAGAAAACCCGGTGGGTACAAACGAAAAAAAACGTGTTTTTGGCATTCAAACACCATGGTTTTCATGCCCTAAGCCACATGGTTCTGAAATGTTCTGAATAAAAGGAAACGAACATCAGGGTTTAAAGATGTATAAATACCATGGCTAAACTGGTGGTGAAACATCATGTTGATCCTCCCCAAGATCAAAAAAGTTCTGGACCTTCCATCTTCATCCATCTTCATCCATCTTCCCATCCAAAGACATCCAAAGACATTCCGACCTCTGGTGACTGCATCCACTCAACGGCTGCAGTGCTCAGCTTCGCATCTGTTGGTAACTTCGCTTCTAACTGGGCCCCGCTTTGCCATGGCACCTAGGGGCTCACCCCGTACCGAAAAACTACACATCCAACCAGGTTACAAAAACACATGAAACATCATGAAACCATATTTGAATCTATCATTGAATCATGACAGCTACGATTGATTTTGATAAACACCCCTTGCAACGTATCTACAATCCTGGATAAAACGAAACCTTGCGTCGAAAATGACTTGTTCGGAACATATTTTGATAGACCATCCCCATGATTTAGCATCACCACAAAGTTTACCTGCAAGTTTCACCAACATTTCCACTGTCAGTCCTCATTTTTGCTCGCTTTAAATCCTACATGTTTGGTGGCCTCCCGATGTGGATGCAATCCCATGTCTGCTCAAATCCATTTATCAATAATAAGTTGGCATATGGGAAAATAATGGTTTAGCTAGGAAATGATCAAAAATAACTTGCTGGATTTTCCATGGAGGCCATTGTGGCAAACTGAGTTGAAATTCGCAATTTTTGGATGGGTCTTATCATGTCTTATCGAGAAATCATGGTACTATTCTGGTACCAGGATGTACCATAACTTGGATTTTTTCAGCTGAAAAATCACCAAACTTGGTTGGTCAAATGTCCAAACCAGGCTGGGGGGCACCTGCGGACCTGGAGCCTTTCCCGGTGCAACGCAGAAGAACTTGCAGCCGTGCAAACCATGGCCTGGGCAGCCCCCAAAGAAAATAGTCATAAAAACCAAAAACTACCACCCTTTTTTCCCTGGATTATGGATGTTGTCTGAAAGAACACATCCGCGGATCATCCGTGTTTACAGAAAAATCACCCGAATCACCTCAGACATCGTGTTTGATGATAAATGAAATCATATGTTAGCAGAAAATACCAGAAAACTGATGTCTAATTGAGATTGATCACCTCAAATGCTCCAAACATGTCCCTCAAGAAATGTCAACACCGCTATATAAGTCTAGATTCAGTATAGATATGTATAGATATTGCATGATATATGTTGACATTGTCCCAGAATATCCATTTTTTTTCCCAGCCCATCAGCCACTTTTTGCTCCAAGGCACAGAACTGCAGCAGCGGCTTGCGATCCACGTGCAGATGCGACGCCGTCCCCGCGTCACCTGCGAAGAGTCCGGGCCGATCTTCGGCGAAGACAAGGCCGGCCCGGGAGAGCAGCGCGGCGAGTTGGGAGACCAACACCTGTGACGGGAAATCAGGGATGAGAATGTTCAGAATATCAATGTTTTTTTACAATGATGGATTTCTGATTCTTATGATGTTTTGATATGGTAAAACCAATCTTTTTGCTGCTTTCATCTCTTCACTCCCTATTTTTGGTAATCATTTTTCTTGAAGGGCAGCGAAAACACCATTGTTTTCCATGGTTTTCCATTGTTTTCCATTGTCCAAACGGCGCCTTTCCATCGCCATCCACGCCATCGCAAAACAGGCTCAGGGCTTCCGCGGAGGCCACCGCTTCTCGGAGATAAATCTTCTGAATGACCTGATTTCTTCAAAGGGATCAACATGATCAACCGCTATTTTTGCATTGAATCAACAAATATGGTCTATATTTTTTAAAATAAAGTATATGATGTATCTGTAAGTGAGATTCATGATGATGGAATTGGTAATCCATGATAACTGATGATACTAATGTAATGACTATGGATTTTCTCCATCGCCCGCCCGAGGAGTTCAGCAGAGCTGAAGGCAAAAAAGGCACAACTCCGGCGGAAGAGGAGTGTCAGCAACCGAGCTGGCAATGATCTATGGATGTGTTTATGGATTCTGTCCAACCAGTAACCGGAAAAACATCTTGTTAAGCGTGTATATATATATACATGTGTGTGATTATGTAACAAACCATCCAATTCAGGAGGGTTTATACCACCCATCATTATTAGATATTATTTAGGTTTTCGCTATACTGAAAACATGATTTCCAACATTGAAGCCGCTCCAGGTCCTGGCCAAGTCTTTTGGGGAGTTTGATCAAAGCTTGAAATATATTGACCAAGCAATGAGGATTTGACCATTCTCTCACACGCATAGACATGCATAGCAAAGAGGATCACGCATACATAATACATACAGATTTACAAGATTTTCTAACTAGTGTATCATCAACATGGTGGGCATATCCTGTTGAGGGCCTCTGACAATTTGACGGAACATAGAAACAAAGATCAAACAAATGAAGGAAACATGACGTTGACTCGGATTGATAAACGATAAAGTCGGATAAAACGCAAACAACTGCTTGATTGATAAAAGGGGCCACTAAAATACGTAAGGATAATGCCAATCAAGAATGCAAACCCTCCTGCCCAATAAAACATCAATTGATCATAGTTGATCAATCTCGCTTTGGTAGTTGGCACTCAGAAACGACCTTTTTCACCAATCGCTAGGCTAGGCGACCTCAACCAGAAGCAGCAACAACAAGAACCCCCGACTTCCCACTGGTGGGCCATGGCCATGGCATGCCATGGCGCTTTGGGGCGACCAAAGGTGATCTCCGCGGTGCCAGGCAGATCGATCAACAGCTCTTGGATGTCATCGAAACTTTGCCAAAGAATCCCCCGGCCATTGATCTTCAATAAGACATCCTGCATTGCAGAAGGGGGCTATGCGGCTATGTCAGACTTCACTGCTCTGAGTTTATCTACGTTTATCTGGTTTTCAGCTCCCCACAGCATCAGGAAAATCATGGGCTTTGACTTTTTGACCTAAAACCACCATTCACCATGGTGTTGGTTTGCCTGGAAAAGCGCCGTTGATGGTGGCTCAGAACACCCCAATTGCACTGGATTATCATTTTTTTGGAATCAACTTGCACTTTTCGGTACTGTCTGGAATTATGAAACACCATTTGGCTAATTACAAGTACCTTTTGTCATCCGATAATCCCGATAAAGATGAAAAACACCGCGAATGGGAAATCAGAGCTCTGCAATGGAAAGTTGCCCATTTTGTTCGATAATTTACCTCTTAAAAATGGTGACTTTCCATAACCACGTTAAGATTCCTGGAAGGTCAACCACCCATGAAATCCCAAAATATACTTTTCATGTGTTGATGGATGCTCTTTTGCCAAAACATGGGTAAAAACATGGTAAACAGCAACACTTTTCCCATATTTTCCCATGACATCCACATTTTTTCCATGGTTTTTGAAACAGCGACCCCGCGTTTTTGAAAACCGCGCCACCCCAACGGCCGCATCGACTTCGGAGACCGGTTCACGGAGCATGGCGCCCAGTGTCCAGGAACAGCTTTCGATGGTCAGTCGCTCGGGACTTTGGATTTTCACCTGGAAATGTTCGAAAAAAATGCGAATTCCTGGTGATACACTCCAGGAAACATAGAAAAAACATCGAAAAAAACTATGGAAACCCATGGCTTTCTGATGTTGCCCTTGATTTCAAACTGGGAAAAAAACATTTTCGAAGTCTATCGTTGCTGGAGGGTTCCTGGAGGGTACCATGTTTTTCCCGAATGCGTAGCCAAGGGTTCCCGTTTATAGTTGGGGGTCTGGGGGTTGGACCTTTGTTCGCCGCCAGTTGGTCGGCGCGTCGTTTTTCGCGTCGTTAATTCGGTGTCTACAAGGGAAGCTGCAAAACCTCGTGCTTTTTGCTACGTGGACGTCGCCGTGTCTATAGGGGAAGCTGCGACACCTTTTTTTTTTGGTTACGTGGACGTCGCCGTGTCTATAGGGGAAGCTGCAACACCTTGTGTTTTTTGCTACGTGGATGTCGCAGTGTCTATCAGGGAAGCTGCAGCACCTCGTGTTTTTTGCTACGTAGATGTCGCAGTGTCTATAGGGGAAGCTGCAACACCTCGTGTTTTTTGCTACGTGGATGTCGCGGTCTCTATCAGGGAAGCTGCAAAACCTCGTGTTTTTTGCTAAGTAGATGTCGCAGTGTCTATAGGGGAAGCTGCAAAACCTCGTGTCTTTTGCTGCGTCGGTGTCGCAGTGTCTATAGGGGAAGCTGCAAAACGTCGTGCTTTTTGCTACGTGGACGTCGCCGTGTCTATAGGGGAAGCTGCAACACCGTGTGTTTTTTGCTACGTGGATGTCGCAGTGTCTATCAGGGAAGCTGCAGCACCTCGTGTTTTTTGCTACGTAGATGTCGCAGTGTCTATAGGGGAAGCTGCAAAACCTCGTGCTTTTTGTTACGTGAACGTCGCCGTGTCTATAGGGGAAGCTGCAAAACCTTGTGTTTTTTGCTACGTGGATGTCGCCGTGTCTATCAAGGAAGCTGCAAAACCTCGTGTTTTTTGCTACGTAGATGTCGCAGTGTTTATAGGGGAAGCTGCAAAACATCGCCTCTTTTGCTACGTAGATGTCGCCGTGTCTATAGGGGAAGCTGCAACACCTCGTGTTTTTTGCTACGTGGATGTCGCAGTCTCTATAGGGGAAGCTGCAACACCTCGTGTTTTTTGTTACGTAGATGTCGCAGTGTCTATAGGGGAAGCTGCAAAACCTCGTGTCTTTTGCTGCGTCGATGTCGCAGTGTCTATAGGGGAAGCTGCAAAACCTCGTGTTTTTTGGTGGATGTCGCAGTGTCTATAGGGGAAGCTGCAAAACCTCGTGTTTTTTGCTACGTAGATGTCGCAGTGTCTATAGGGGAAGCTGCAAAAGCTACGTGGATGTCGCAGTGTCTATCGGGGAAGCTGCAAAACCTCGTGTTTTTTGCTGCTCGCACTGTCTATAGGGGCTGCAACACCTCGTGTTTTTTGGACGTCGCCGTGTCTATAGGGGAAGCTGCAAAAGCTACGTGGATGTGTCAAGCTGCAAAACCTCGTGTTTTTTGCTACGTGGGTGTCGCACTGTCTATAGGGGAAGCTGCAACACCTCGTGTTTTTTGCTACGTCGCCGTGTCTATAGGGGAAGCTGCAAAACCTCGTGTCTTTTGCTACGTGGATGTCGCCGTGTCTATAGGGGAAGCTGCAAAACCTCGTGTCTTTTGCTACGTGGATGTCGCCGTGTCTATTGGGGAAGCTGCAAAACCTCGTGTCTTTTGCTACGTGGACGTCGCCGTGTCTATAGGGGAAGCTGCAAAACCTCGTCTCTTTTGCTACGTGGATGTCGCCGTGTCTATAAGGGAAGCTGCAAAACTTCGTGTCTTTGCGCAAGTTTTGTAGTATAGGGTAGTACTGGAACGTTGTTTGTCCGAATTGTGTAGTATACGGTAGTACTGGAACGTGTGCGGGTTTTGTAGTATACAGTACTACTGGAACGTTTGCGCGAATTTTGTAGTATACAGTAGTACTGGAACGTGTTTGTGCGAATTTCGTAGTATACGGTAGTACTGGAACGTGTTTGTGCGAGTTTTGTAGTATACGGTAGTACTGGAACGTGTTTGTGCAAGCTTTGTAGTATACGGTAGTACTGGGAATGACTTTGTGCAAGCTTTCTAGTATACAGTACTACTGGAACGTTGTTTGCGCGAATTTTGTAGTATACAGTAGTACTGGAACGTGTTTGTGCGAGTTTTGTAGTATACGGTAGTACTGGAACGTGTTTGTGCGAGTTTTGTAGTATACGGTAGTACTGGAACGTGTTTGTGCAAGCTTTGTAGTATACGGTAGTACTGGGAATGACTTTGTGCAAGCTTTCTAGTATACGGTGTTTGTGCGAGTTGTGTAGTATACGGTAGTACTGGAACGTGTTTGTGCGAGTGCGAGTTTTGTAGTATACGGTAGTACTGGAACGTGTTTGTGCGAATTTTGTAGTATACGGTAGTACTGGAACGTGTCTGTGCGAGTTTTGTAGTATACGATACGGTAGTACTGGAACGTGTTTGTGCAAGCTTGTAGTATACGGTAGTACTGGAACGTGTTTGTGCAAGCTTGGTAGTATACAGTAGTACTGGAACGTGTTTGTGCGAGTTGTGTAGTATACGGTAGTACTGGAACGTGTTTGTGCGAGTGCGAGTTTTGTAGTATACGGTAGTACTGGAACGTGTTTGTGCGAATTTTGTAGTATACGGTAGTACTGGAACGTGTCTGTGCGAGTTTTGTAGTATACGATACGGTAGTACTGGAACGTGTTTGTGCAAGCTTGTAGTATACGGTAGTACTGGAACGTGTTTGTGCAAGCTTGGTAGTATACAGTAGTACTGGAACGTGTTTGTGCGAGTTTTGTAGTGTACGGTAGTACTGGAACGTGCTTTGTGCAAGCTTTGTAGTACACAGTAGTACTGGGAACGTGCTTTGTGCAAGCTTTGTAGTACACAGTAGTACTGGAACGTGTTTGTGCAAGCTTTGTAGTACGCAGTAGTACTGGGAAGTGCTTTGTGCAAGCTTTGTAGTACAAAGTAGTATTGGGAGCGACTTTGTGCAAGCTTTGTAGTATACAGTAGTACTGGAACGTGTTTGTGCAAGCTTTGTAGTACACAGTAGTACTGGAACGTGTTTGTGCAAGCTTTGTAGTACACAGTAGTACTGGAACGTGCTTGTGCAAGCTTTGTCGAAGGAAGCTTAGAAGTCAAACTTCCGACAATATGGACAGATGAAAAGCAGAGTAGGGCAGAGGCAGAGAGAAGAGAAAGATTAGAAGAGAGAAGAGTGGAAGAGAAAGAGTAAGAGGACAGAAGATACAGATGCGCGAAAAGGTAGGAAAGTCGCGAAACACTGTGTTTTTCCAATGATTTGTGGCGCAGGAGGGTCGAAAAGTAGGCTCGCTAAAGCGGCGGGTGCGGAGCCAGCTGGCAACAGGAGCGATGAAAAATTGCACGCCGTTGTGGCGCGAAGCACATTTCCAAGTCAAAAGGTACAAAGCACCTCAGGTCCGGACCACTTTTGGAAGTTGAGATGTCGAAAAAGTGCGCGCCGTTGTGGCGCGAAGCACATTTCCAAGTCAAAATGTACAAAACACACCATGGTCGGACCACTTTTGGAAGTTGAGATGTCGAAAAAGTGCACGCCGTTGTGGCGGGAAGCACATTTCGAAGTCAAACTGTACAAAACACTAGGGGTTCGGACCACTTTTGGAAGTCCAGATGTTGGAAAAGTGCACGCCGTTGTGGCGCGAAGCACATTTTGAAGTAAAAAATGCTAAAAACTGGCGGTCTCGGACCACTTTTGGAAGTTGAGATGTCGAAAAAGTGCACGCCGTTGTGGCGGGAAGCACATTTCCAAGTCAAAATGTCCAAAACACTAGGGGTTCGGACCATTTTTGGAGGTTCAGATGTTGAAACAGTGTACGCCGTTGTGGCGCGAAGCACCCTTCGAAGTCACACTACATTACAATACATTACACTCCAGTACACTCCACTACACTAAATTACACTACACCACACTACATTACACTGAATGACACTGCAACACAGATAGACAGGTAGACAGCTAGACAGATGAAAGGGAGAGAGAGACAGACAGGTAGGTAGATAGATAGATAGATAGGTAATTAGATGAAAGAGAGAGAGACAGAGAGAGAGAGAGGAGCTGGGTAGATGAGATAGATACATAGATGGCTAGACAGATAGACAGACAGAAAGACAGACAGATCGATAGACAGACAGACAGACAGACAGACAGATAGATAGATAGATAGATAGAGAGATAGATAGATAGATAGATAGATAGATAGATAAAAAGATAGATAGATAGATAGATAGATAGATTGGTAGGTAGGTAGGTAGTTAGATAGTCAGAGAAAGCGAGAGAAAGAGTGAGAGAGATCAAGCACCTTTCGGTCCATCAGTCGCTTCGCTCTGCCATCCCTGGTAATCTTTGTAGTACACAGTAGTACTGGAACGTGTTTGTGCGAGTTTGTAGTATACAGTAGTACTGGGAAGGTTTTGTGCAAGCTTTGTAGTTTGTAGTACACAGTAGTACTGGGAAGTGCTTTGTGCAAGCTTTGTAGTATACAGTAGTACTGGAACATGTTTGTGCAAGCTTTGTAGTACACAGTAGTACTGGGAAGTGCTTCGTGCAAGCTTTGTAGTACACAGTAGTACTGGGAATGCTTTGTGCAAGCTTTGTAGTACACAGTAGTACTGGGAACGACTTTGTTGGGAATGTTTTGTGCAAGCTTTGCAGTACACAGTAGTACTGGAACGTGTTTGTGCAAGCTTTGTAGAACAAAGTAGTACTGGGAAGGTTTTGTGCAAGCTTTGTAGTACACAGTAGTACTGGGAAGTGCTTTGTGCAAGCTTTGTAGTACACAGTAGTAGTGGGAACGTTTCGAAGTAATTTGTGCAAACCTTGTGTAAAGTAAGGAGTGTGGAGTGTAAAGTGTGGAGTGGGGAGTGTAGAGTGCGTAACGTGTAGAGTGTGGAGTGTGGAGTGTGGAGTGTAGAGTGTAAAGTATAGTGTGTAAAGTGTAGAGTGTGGAGTGTAAAGTGTAGAGTGTGGAGAGTCAAGTGGAAAGTGTAGAGTGCGGAGGAGTGCGGAGTGCGGAATTGAAAGTAAGGAGTGTGGAGTGTAAAGTGTGGCGTGTAAAGTGTAGAGTGTGGAGTGAGGAGTGTTAAGTAAGGAGTGTGGAGTGTAAAGTGTGGCGTGTGGAGTGTAAAGTGTTGAGTGTGGAGTCAGGAGTGTAAAGTGTAAAGTGTGGAGTGTAAAGTGTAGAGTGTGGAGTGTGGAGTGAAAAGTGTCGAGTGTGGAGTGTAGAGTGTAAAGTGCAGAGTGTGGAGTGTAAAGTGTGGAGTGTGGAGTGTAAAGTGTAAAGTGTGGAGTGTAGAGTGCAAAGTGTAGAGTGTAAAGTGTGGAGTGTAGAGTGTGGAGTGTAAAGTGTGGTGTGTGGAGTGTAAAGTGTGGAGTGAGGAGTGTAAAGTGCAAAGTGCAAAGTGTAAAGTGTGGAGTGCAAAGTGTAAAGTGTGGAGTGTAAAGTGTGGAGTGTGGAGTGAGGAGTGTAAAGTGTAAAGTGTGGAGTGTAAAGTGTGGAGTGTGGAGTGAGGAGTGTGGTGTGTGGTGTGTGGAGTGTAAAGTGTAAAGTGTGGCGTGTAAAGTGTGGAGTGTGGAGTGTACAGCGTGGAGTGTGGAGTGTGGAGTAAGGAGTGTGGTGTGTGTAGAGTATAGAGTGTGGTGGAGTGTGGAGTGTTGTGGAGTGTGGAGTGTGGAGTGTAGTGCGTGGAGTGAGGAGTGAGGAGTGTGGAGTGTGGAGTTTGGAGTGTGGAGTGTAGTGCGTGGAGTGCGTGGAGTGAGGAGTGTGGAGTGTAAAGTGTGGAGTGTGGAGTGTGCAGTGGGTCAAGTGTGGCGTGTGCAGTGTGCAGTGTAGTGTGTGGAGTGTAGAGTGTAAAGTGTAGAGTGTAAAGTGTAGAGTGTGGAGTGTGGTGTAAAGTGTGGAGTGTAAAGTGTGGACTCAGGAGTGTCAAGTGCAAAGTGTAAAGTGTAAAGTGTGGAGTGAGGAGTGTAAAGTGTAAAGTGTGGAGTGTAAAGTATAGAGTGTGGCGTGTGGAGTAGAAAGTGTCGAGTGTGGAGTGTAGAATGAGGAGTGTGGAGTGTGCAGTGGGTAAAGTGTGGACTGTGGCAGGTGGTGGTGATCTCGTTGTGCTGGTGACGTTGTTGTGCTGGTTATGTTGTGCTGGTGATTTTTTTGTGCTGGTGATTTCGTTGTGCTAGTGATTTCGTTTGCTTTGATGATTTTGTTGCGCTGGTGCTGTCCGCTGGTGATTTCATTCTGCTGGTGCATTCGTTGTGCTGGTGATTTCGTTGCGCTGGTGATGTTGTTGTGCTTGTGATTTTGTTGCGCTGGTGATTTCGTTGTGCGGGTGATTTCGTTGTGGTTTTATTGCGCTGGTGATGTTGCTGTGCTGGTTGTGATTTCGTTGTGCTGGTGGTGATGTTGTTGTGCTGGTTAGTTGTATCTTTGTGAACTGTTGCTCAGGCGCCTTCGCTGAGACGGTATGAGGGCACGATGCATGCAAAAAAAGGTTTGTTTTCCTATTGCAGAGGTTTGTATTCGTAGTCCAAGAACGTGAATACATTCGGGTTCGTGGCTTCCATCTTGTTTTTAGCTGAATGACATTGAAGTAGAAAAATCATAGAAGCACAAGATTGAAACATGAAGAATTACCGATCCAAGGTGCAGTGATGCCACCAACTCGGATTCGGTGATTTGTTCAACTCACTAATGTCAACAGCGTGAAAAACACCCTGACAATGGGAGGTTCCCCCTAATAAACAGGGATACATTGTTAAAATGGATTAAAATGGGTAATTACCATCCCTTATCAAGAAACTGGTGGTTTCTTAGTCTTGGCTTAACATGCCCACTTCTTGTTGACACCTCACCTTGGTCAAGTTCTCTATTTTCCATGGAACAACTCGACCGTGCAAACCAGGGGCAAACAAAAAAACATCGTTGCAACTATGTTGGGCCAAAAAGCGATGACTGACCGTGACAGTGAAATACAGTGAACATGTGCAAGCCCGACAACCCCCTGGAACTTGGAATTTAAAAACCACATCAGAACTTGTTATTCAGTAAATCAAATCCGGCTTGGCTTTCTGCTCATCGATTTACAATTCTGGTCCACCCAGTGATGATTCATTTGGGTTTGTCGGAAAATCAAAGTATCCCCTAAATCCCATGGTGTATCATCACTCACGTATGATCTTAATCAAAATTGTTATTTGCGGGAATAAAATCCGTTTTTAAACATCAACTTGGGTTCAGCCTACTGCAGAATTGTTCTCACATGCTGCCGCGCCACCGTATATACCCGCGACCAGTGCTCTTCGTTTGCACTGTCTGCACCAGCAATGGCCCCAGCAATGTCGAAATGTCCCTGGAGAAAAGTTCAGGGAAGGAAAACGCCAGGAAAACATTGATGTCATAGAAATCCAATCATCAGTTATCGAAGGAAGTTTAGAAGTCAAACTTCCGACAATATGGACAGATGAAAAGCAGAGCAGGGAAGAGGCAGAGAGAAGAGAAAGATTAGAAGAGAGAAGATCAGAAGAGAAAGAGTCAGAAGAAAGAAGATGCAGATGCGCGAAAAGGTAGGAAAGTCGCGAAACACTGTGTTTTTCCAATGATTTGTGGCACCGGAGAGTCGAAAAGTAGGCTCGCTAAAGCGGCGGGTGCGGAGCCAGCTGGCCAGATGAGAGATGAAAAATTGCACGCCGTTGTGGCGCGAAGCACATTTCCAAGTCAAAATGTACAAAGCACACCAGGTCCGGACCACTTTTGGAAGTTGGGATGTCGAAAAAGTGCACGCCGTTGTGGCGCGAAGCACATTTCCAAGTCAAAATGGACAAAACACCTCAGCGTCGGACCACTTTTGGAAGTTGAGATGTCAAAAAAGTGCACGCCGTTGTGGCGCGAAGCACATTTCGAAGTCAAAATGTACAAAACGCCAGGGGTTCGGACCACTTTTGGAGGTTGCGATGTCGAAAAAGTGGACGCCGTTGTGGCGCGAAGCACATTTCGAAGTGAACATGTAGAAAACACCTCAGTGTCGGACGACTTTTAGAAGTTGCGATGTCGAAAAAGTGCACGCCGTTGTGGCGCGAAGCACATTTCCAAGTCAAAAGTGTAAAAAACTGACGGTCTCGGACCACTTTTGGAGGTTCCGATGTGGAAAAAGTGTCGAAAAGGTGCACGCCGTTGTGGCGCGAAGCACATTTCGAAGTCAAAAGTGTAAAAAACTGAGGGTTTTGAGCCTTTTTTGACGTGAAGATGTCGAAAAAGTAGACACTGATTAACTTAACCAACTTGACTAACTTAACTAACTTCACTAACTTAACTACCCTAACTTCGACGACAACAACAACAACAACAACACTACCAACACAACAACAACACCAACCACAACAACTACAACTACAACAACAATAGATCAAATAGATAGATAGATACAGATAGATCGATAGATGGAGAGATAGATAGATAGATAGATAGATAGATAGATAGATAGATAGATAGATACATCGATAGATGCATAGATCGATACATGGAGAGATTGATAGATACATAGAGAGATCGATAGATAGACGGAGAGATAGATAGAGAGAGAGAGATCGATAGATAGGTCGATAGATAGATAGATCGATAGATAAATAGACAGATAGATAGACACATAGACAGGTCGATAGATAGATAGACACATAGATAGATACATAGATAGACGGACAGACAGATCGATAGATAAATAGATAGATCGATAGACGGACAGATAGATAAATAGTTAGAGGGACAGCTAGAGACATAGATGGCGAGACAGACAGATAGATACATGGACACCGTAGGTAGGTAGGTAGGTAGGTAGGTAGATAGTCAGAGAAAGAGAGAGAAATAGTGAGAGAGATCAGTCACCTTTCGCTCCATCAGTGGCTTCGCTCTGCCATCCCTGATTCACAACAACCAACCTCTCCTATAGGTTTCCTATTTTTGAAACTTCCGCCACCGCCTTGTGCGGTACTACTGGTAGATAATTATAGCAACCTCCGAATAGAAATGTTGGAAACCAAGAAATGGGGTTTTTATCTGTGGAAATATCATCTATAACTTCCAGCCATCAGGTCATCAGGCACCTTCTTAAGGTCTTCAGGGAGGTCTTGGATCATTTCCTCCAGGGAAGTGCCGCCAAAGACTTCGCACAAGGAACGATTTGTCAGGTGCTTCGCGATGCCAGGAATCCAGTCCTGAGAAACTCTGAAAAGGCTCCCCTTTTTGTCTTCTCAGAGGTTGGTTAAAAAGGACCCTGACTTTGGTGCTGATGGCTTCACTGAATTTCATACATTTAATACATATATTTAGTATATTTATTAATATTGGCTTCACTTTCTGATGGGTATAATCGTGGCAGTTGTAAATGAACCCATATATACCCATATTAATGTTGATGCAACAAAATGTATCAAAATGTCTTCCTGGTTTGGTTGATAAATCCTAATTCCATACGTGCCGCTTCTTGTTTGGTCTGTGCAACTATTCAAAACTATGACTTATCAAACTAATCTGAAAGCTTGCATATTTATCTTTCGTGTTTTAAACCGTAGCTAAAACCTGCAGGAAATGCTAACGCATTGCAAATGGGGAGATCTTGCGGGTAGCACAGAAATTCGCCAAGACATCCTTAGGTTTAAGGCGTTAAGTGTTACATCATGTTGAAAAAACAGTCAGGAACACATCAACAACATACTATCCCATACTATCCCATATGCCCACCTGATCGCATCATATGTTCATGTCAACCTGCAGACCGTGCAAACCCAGCTGGCCTCCGTCACCAATCCCATCTGCTGCGCCGCTCCAACAAAGAGCACTGGAAAACCCGAAGAAAGCACGGCAGAAACACCACGTTGCACAAAGAAATGAGCGTCAAATACAACCTGATTTTTGATATGATTTGAGCTGGGCTTTGGAAAATTGGACCATTGAATTCAGAGGCAAATTAACAATCTAAGAGAATGGGAACGGTACTTTTTTCCAGACCCCAAGCGGGCCAACCTGATGTTTTACTAGTGTGGATTGGAAGGACCCGCAGGATGCCAATTTCATGGGATTAGCCATTGAGGCACTCATTTCTTGACATTCAACTTGGATTAGGAGATTTGTGGCACCTTGAGTCGAAATTAACGTCTATCACTCCAAAGATACAAAACACATGCCAAATAGGGCCGGGATCCCCTACCAGCATTGAAAGTGGGTGTATCAGCATCTTCAGGGGACCCCAAGTCAAAAACACAGATTTTGAGTTTGAGATTGTCTTCCAAAGATTCTTCTTATGATTTTGGCATGGAAGTCCCATTCTAAAAAAGATGTTCATCCCAAGGGGTATGTTCGGATACCGTGCTTCCCTGCAGCTAATTCTGCCTCGTATCCAAACAGACCCCTGGAAATCTCTCAACATTGACCCTAGAAATTGAGTAGCGGACCCCTTTCCATCGTGGCGATGCGGGAATCTGGCACCAGATTTTTCAAAATTGAAAAGATTCTTGATGAAAAATGGTTTCCCGACGCAAAGTGTAGAAGGTTTTGGACACAAAGGAAATGAACCAACAGGACTAGAGACATCGCAAGATGTGAGTGAAAGAATGAGAATTGGGGTGGGACACTATGAACACTATGTTTGTGGGTGTATGTACACGCTCATGCCAGCATGCAAACACAGACCACGTCAACGGGACTGACTTTTTACCTTAAAGTAAGTGAACGGGACTTTTTGCCCAATATCCCCAATAATAGAAAATAGTACTGGGTCGGGGCCATCAAACCATCACCAAGCTCAATCTCTCCTTGGATTTGCTTGGTCTTGGTCGATGGGATTTGGAACAACACATGATGACAGCGTCCAAGACGAGATTTAAGCCATCACAATCTTGGATTTGCGGCTAGCTGGTTAGCTCAGGAGATACACCAGTGCTGGCAGTTGACGTAGAATACCTAGAATACGTAGAATGTATAGAATTTTGTCGGTTCTCCCAGCCATCTTGACTGGAACCTCAGGGGTGCCAGGGAAATAGTTGTTGAATGTTGTTGAGCACTTGAAACCCCAAACACTTCCAATTTTGGATCCAACCCTAGGACCCCATGCTTTAAAGTTTGAAAGTTTCAAACCATAACGAGGAAATTTTCCCTGTGATATAATTCCAGAAAAAGAACTTGGTTGGTAAGTTGTTTTCCCTAAAGACACATTTCTTTACATTAAAAAATGGATGTGGAGATACATAGATCAATTATGTTCACAAAAAGTTCAACAACTGCAACTTCTGCATCTCAAAAGCTTGAATTACCCTCTGGCAATTTAACGTAGCTATGGAAAATCCCCATTTTTTGGAGGTAAATCATCATAAATCAATATAATTCATCTATAAATGGGCCCAGTGTCCATTGCAAATGGTGAAATATACATTAAATAGCTAACTAAATAAGCAGAGGGTAAGTTCAACCCTTCATCCTTCACCATCCGCCCCAAGCCACTGTGCCAGGTCCTTTCAGGGGCCACCTGCTCAAATCTTCCACCAGCTCTGACGGCCAGCCCGGAGCTTCGCGCTGCAGCGAGCTGCGCTTCATGGCGTCGAAGGAAAAGGTCAAGGGACCTGCCTCCGGAGCCTCCGGGCCACCGATCCTCGGTGCCGTCGTCCATGTAAAACCTGGAGATGGTCTAATAATGTCTAATATAATGTCTAATATATCATATAATATCTAATATATCTAATATATCTAATATGTCTAATCTCATTTATCCAATTCTTGGTGGGCTTGACCCAGGTTGTTAAAAGGAGAAGAATAGACTCGGCTTGGTGACTGGTATGCCATTTCTCATCATTTACATTCATTTACGTTCATTTCCTTTGGTTGTGAAGGGTCGTAGATGGTCGTAGTTTTTCCCCTAGTTGCCAACCAATGGGAATAGGACGTCACCCAGTCGCCATGGGAAATCACGAAAGGAAAAAAGATGAAAAAAGGGAGGTCGCTTTGCCTTGTTGGGAGACACCGTTGGAACGTTCACTTGGGAGCCGGCAAAGTCGTTCACTTCATAACATCATTGTGATGCCCTTAGCTACGGAAAAACAATGAACAAATCCTCCAAATAAACCAATATATATATAATTGGTTTCAACGAACAAACCAAAACTAACCCGAAACAAACTCACATCGAAACAACCTCGCAGAAGTGGCTAAATAAAGCGAAAATCCACAAGAAAACTTGGCATAAGTGTGGAAACCATAGTTTCCAGTCCAATTTCTCCTCGAAAAACCAACCCAAAGACAACTCCAAAATCTCAAGCCTCCCCAAATCTCCGACTCAATTCTTCCAAATTCCAAAAAATAACACAAATCCCACAGAGTCAGTTCAAACCAATCTAGTGGCCATAGATCTGGCTCCGTCTCCGTCAGTTTCACAGGGCACCACTTTCCATCGCGAAAGACCTGACCGTACAACACACGGCAGTGGCTGCCAGTGCTCTGTTGCACCTCCACTGCACCCAGGGCGATCTGGATCTCTTCACCTGCAGGACCCGGTAAAAGGAGGACCCAAGGATGGGTATTTCACCAGCAAAAACCATGGATAGATCAGATAGTTTGGCAAACATAACTTAGTGTAACTGAGGATTCTTTATGATTCTATCATGGAAATATGATACTGATACCTCTATAGTGGTTCCAATTCACTATTGCGATAGCCTAGCATTGGTCAATCTCTTGTTGATTTAAGGCTTTAAGGCCAATACTGACAAATGGGATGACTATTCAAGACATGGTCAATACGAGTGCTTCGGAGGTTTGAAAGTCTCCTTTCCAGCCTTGGAAAACTGGAAGGAATACAAACCGGAGCATGTGACTTTGGGCCCAAAAACCCCAAACAATCTGACTTCCCAAGTATTTCACCATGGGGACAGGAAAAAAAAACATGCTTTGGTCCACACCTCCCAAGTTGGCAGAGATGGTGGGTGCAACCCACTGGCGCTTCTTTCCCGCGCAACGTAGCAATTTCGTCGTCGCCAGGGCCATCCACACGGGATGCCACCGATGCCACCGATGCCACCGTCGCCTTCGGTTTCCAGAGCTGCAAGTCGATCGCACACGGTGAAGCTGCGGATGCTGCGCATGCTGTGCGCTTGCAACGGGAGTGGAGAGCATCATGGCGTCTGGAGCAGTGAAAAAAAGTGAAAAATAGTGAATTAAGGGACTATCATGGACAATTAAGGGACTATCCGGAATATCTCCCATGAAATACGAAAAATTAGTATAGGTCAACTTGCGGCACAAGTTTGATCCCAGAAGATTTGGATTTCAGTGGTCCAATCGTTTCGAGACATCCCCACAAGGGGTGCAGCACAAACATCCATTTTGAGTACCAGAATTGACGATAGTTGGATGAAGCTATAGCACTGCAACGCTGTCAAAGCGCCATGGTTCCCGTATGTTTCATTGGTGATGCATCATGGGATCCAAATTTGAAGTGAATCCAGTTCATGTTTTAACTTACAGATTTCCAGATGATTGGGAATTTTAATATTATCTATATATATATGTATATATGAGAAATGGTGGGTTGACCAAGGGGTAACAAACAAACAATCTTCATATCCACGGTTCCACTGCTTTGTTGCTCCAACTCATGAACCCCCACCGGGCATGCTATTCAACATGAACCAACATGTGCAAAACAAGCCATAAACAAACGGCCATGAAGGAATCCTGAGCCTTGCCACGGAAAACGCAACTCACATCCACAATCAGTTGGACAAACACGGTCACTGCCAAGCAAAGGCGCTTCATCGATATTGCAGTCCTCAGACTCATAGGTAAACGACTTTGATCTCACTGACGGCATGAGGAAAATTCCGTGAAAATCACATCAAGAGCTGTAAAACTAGAGGCCTCACATTTGTATCCCGCCAACCATCTGTCCATTCAATGAATCCATCGATCTATGCCCTGTTCCAATCCCAATAAGCCCCAGACTTCACAATGCCGCGCGCTCCCCTGTAGGGAGCCAAGCGATAGCTGGGGCCATGCTTCCAGCCTTTGGAAACCTTTCCCCTCACACCTTGTTATTGTGCAGCTTTGGTGGCCACATATGCCAACATTTGAGAACTAGGTCTTAAATGGTCTTAATATGTCTTCCTCCAGTCAGCAAGACAGCAGAATCGCAGTCCAAACCCGTGCCATGCCCCCAATTGCAACAACTCACCTTTCAATTTCGGACCTCCAGAAGCGTGAAATGCCACGTTGTGAAATTTGAAAGTCCCATAGATTCCCACCATCGCCTGGAGTTCGACGCTCCGGTAGAGGATCACAGGTCCTCGCCCAAGGCCAAATCAGGCTGTGATAGCACTATAGTTCACTATCAACTTGCTATGCTTTGCTGTCACAAATCACCAAGTCAAAACAACAAAACAAGCCCGAATTTTTACGGGGATTCTATCGCGAAGAACCCTTTCCAAACCATCGTTTTTTGTTGCAAAACCATCGCAAGACCGATGTGTTCTCGGTGATGCCAAGGCCACCTTGAGCCTGCGATGATTTTGATGCCGGGCAAGTGAGGCAAAAAGTGTATTTTCCACTGGAAAGGGTGCACATTCTCCCTAATGTTATGCCAGAAGTCACATAAAATATCATAGAATCACATAGCAATCATAACATCACATAGCCCATGGACCCATGAACAACCCTTCGGTCCCAAGCTCCAAGGGATTGCTGGGACCACCAAATTATCAGGCAGATCAGTCGGATGTCGGACGGCTATGACACCCAAAGGAATTCAAGGCCGTACACTTCGGGCATCTCAGTTAGTAAGTGGACTACAACCCGAGTTATAACTAGGGTAAGTAGAGTTATTCCTTTATGATTTTCATCCATTTCCTAACTGGGAGCCACCAAATGCATTGCCTCCTTGAGTTGCGAAGAGACTCGCCCAGTCATCCATGCCATACACATCTGCTTTCAGTTACATACCCAAGATTTTGCTGCAACAACTATCAGCGGTTTTGACCCCATGGGATATCGAACGTACATGGGAAACCTGGTACTCCCTCGCCGTTGTTCACCCCTACCAGAATCTACTAGAATTGTTTTGTTGGGCTTATGGCGCTGTGAAATAACCTAAATTATCATAAATCGGGGGTTTCTGACAGTTTCTGACCCCCATAAGGGAAAGGTCATGAAGTCATGAACCATACCTGGTGACATCTGGTGACATATCTCAATTTTCAAATCACATCCAATTCGGCATTCAATTTCCGTGGAACTGCAGCCGTTTTTGGTGTTTTTTTTCCCCTGGAAAATCTCACCTTAAGATACGGAACCCCAGCTGCAACTGCCAAGCCCTTCCAGGATTCCACCTAGAAGCTCGAAGTGGGGAGATCATGGTGAGACAACATGGCTCGAAAATGCTGGGCATTAAAGATGTCTAAGTCATCTAAGTCTAACTGTTTTGGCGCAGAAAATGATGAGACTGATAAACCTTTGGACTTGGGTAAAACAAATCTACAAGCATCAGAAGAACTGGATATATCCAACTAAATGACAAAAATCCAACTGACATTCTGTTAATCTGTAATTATTTGGTAATGCCTCTCATTTTGAAACAAGGGCAATATTTGGCAACATCTCCAATATATATTTTTTAACTAACTAATCTTTAAAGTGCAACAGCTTCGGCTCACTTGTGACCCAGCACGCCTCACTCAAGGTACATGGGTAGTACGAGTATGAGATGACAGCTACAGTCAATGAAATCAACAATGGTCCAACCGATAAGATCGATGGCGATTTCATGGTGGGAAGAAACAAATACATTATATTGCATGTATGTTTAGTTGTGTAATTACCCAGCAAGAGATGTGTTTCAGCAGCAAGTACTTACACTAAATTCACTAAACGTGTCGCGAGATGTTTGATTTGCCAACAGCCTGTGAAAAATGAACTGTTCCTTCCATCAGTTCATCAGTTATTTTTTCCTAAATCTATGGAAAACGTCCACTTCTGTGGGTCGTAAAGTGGCCACGGGCCGTTGCTGAAATGATCTAAAAAAAATGTCTTGCATCAATGGGGCAGGTGGAAAAATCGAGCAAAACTGGAAAGAATTGCCTTCCAGCAAAATAAAATAGTTCCAGTAAATCAACATAGATATGGAAACCCAGTGGTTTCCCAGGGTAATTCCACAGGAAAATTGATGAAAATGGCCCACAAACTGTATCAAATGGATTCAAATGGTGTTTTTTTGTCGATTTACCCAGGCTTCAGCATCACTCGCCGAGTCACCAGACCTCAACGTGTGGTCAAGTGGCTTCAAAGTCAGTCAGGTTCCTTGGGCATCGTTTGTAGCTCGCATTTCCACCCATCCACATGATGAACATGGCCAATCTTAGGCACTTAAGATATCCTAAGATCAAAACATGGAAAAATGATGGAACATGTCTTCCAAACCCCGTGTTTTATTGAAAACGAGGAAGTTCGTACTGAACTATATAATTATCCAACATTGACACAGACAAATGCTGTTCGGCTTTTATGATGCCATGTCAGCCATTGTCAGCCACTCCGCATGTCATCCAAGGGACTGGATTACTCGTTGGATTCCTTGTTTCAGCTGATGCACCTGTCAGTTTTGGTGATTCTGAAAGATCCTGGGCTCACCTCCCGGGGAAACATGGAACTTTTCTGTTGCCAAGTCAAACTCCCGGACAGGATCTGGAAATATTTAGAAGGTAAAGGGACACATAGGGACACTTGTGCCAACCCTGGATTTGGCGAAGATGTCCTGATGTTGTAAAGTAACATCAACAAAATGATCTCCTGATAATCGTTGTGAAGGCAAAAGTTCCAGTCCCATTGCAAAAAATGTCAACATGTACAACTTGAGGGGCATCCACAATACATCAGTCAAGGGCTGATTGAAAACACACCTTGCGGGCGCAGTTCCACTCGTGAAATCTGGTATGGAGCGACCAAAACCTTCATGTTTGACCTCACGCGGCTAGGTGATGGGCTGAGTCATGCCCTCCTGCCACCGTTGCTTTGTCAACTGGTGGCACTACACAACTAGGCCCAACTTATGCTGCCTTTCCACAGCAAAAAGGTTGAGCTCTGCACAGAGCGTCTCGATCGTTCGTCCAAGTGTTTGGCGCCCATGTCTGCTGCAAGTCGCCATGCACACACTGTTGGGGCCACAAATGCGACCTGTGTGTTTGGCACGGCCGTGCCCTTTTCTCGACAACATCGCCGCAGCTGTGGCGTCAAAAGTCAAGACCTTTTCGCAATTCACCAAGATCTAAAGCCATTGAAATTGCCTCCAGTAATGTTGATCCTGCTTTGATGCCTGCATAAAACTCAGATTCTCGAGAACTCAAAGAAATCAAATGTTGCGTTCCAGAATAAAAAATGATCAAATGTGAGCTATGCATGAGTGCTCCAGGTCCAGCAGATGTCGACTTCCTAGTCTTTGCACAGCCTGCATCATCACTGTCTGTAAGCATTGTAAATCTGTCTTGTTCCAACTGATCATGATATCGCCACACAAGCCTAGGAACACCTTTCAAATATCTGCACAATCGTTTCAAGCCGTTCCAGTCTGATTGCTTGGGCGCTGACATATTGCGTGCCAGCTCTTTGCAAGCATGTGCAATATCCGGCCGATCAAGGGCCAAACAACACCCACGCATCACCAAGCTCCGTAGCGACTCATTTCTGTTGCATTCAATGCCTCGCTGTCACTCGTTTCACATTTCACACCAGGAGTTGCTACTGCCTTATCTTCTTGCAAACGCAACTCCTTCAACAAAATTTGAACATGCCTTGGATCAGCCTCAATGGTGGTATCGCAAAGACTTGACATGAACCAATCTGTTGAGAATCATGACATCCTGCACGTCACCTTCTTCATCGCCAAGCATGCCACCAAACTTGATTTCATACCGAACCAAAAATCTTTGCTTAAGCCACTGTAAGTCTTCTGCTCTTCCCAAAGGCGTAACATCATCTCCATGCACTGAAACCTTGATGTCACACACTGTGTGTGCAAAACGCATTGGACTGCCTAAACCAGGAGTGAACCCAGTGCAAACGAAGAAGTCTGTAATCACTGTGATCTCTGTTTCCCATTGACGAGCTGCATCACAACATCCATACATGACCTTCTTAAGCCTCCCGTACA